GTGTATGTGAGTATGTGATTGATTGACATATCATATATAGCCAATCTCTGTTAAAACATCCCCGCCCCACCCACATCTGTGCCAGTAACCACACACTATGGGCCAGTCGATCAAAGCACATACCAATCAATTTTCAACTGCGCTTTTTTGTCTCTATATGTGGATAATCCGCCGAATTGTCCAGTGGCCCACCAGGAAAACTCCCAGTCCTGATGGCCAGTCCTTCTTTGGTGAGTGGCGAAGTATCATCGAAAATAGGACCCCTTCTGATTCGATGATTGCAGTTTCTCACCACTTCAGCCCCCACCATGTAATTACTTTCAAATACACAGGCGCTTTCAGCCACCATGGCACTGCGCAGCTTTCCTCCACCCACCGCAGCCACCCGCATCAATTACTGCCAGAATCCTGTTTGATTTGTTTTTGAAAGCATCTACATACCTCACAGGGAATATTTAGTATCTTCTTCTCCGTATTCAGTTCCCATGTCTTCTCGCCCCATTAATCATTCTCTTTTTTATCTTGCATGTCTTCACTTGTTGACCATGTGATATTTGAATAGTGTGATTGATGAAGCTGGCATGGTTGAGCATCTTTGCTGAATTCATTATCATCTAAATAAGTGATTTTTCAGTCCTCAGTCTGGCTTGTTTTAATTGGTGGCCACTCAGTGATGCACCAATTACAAATGGATAAGTCCAACCGGGCTGCGATGGACTGGCGACCTGTCCAGGGTGTACCCCGCCTTTCGCCCGATGCCAGCTGGGATTGGCTCCAGCCCCCCGCGACCCTGTACGCAGGATAAGCGGTTGATGATGGATGGATGGATGGATGGATGGATGGATAAGTCCAACCGGGGGCTTACAGGGATGCAGGACAGGTATAGGTTTGCAGGACCAGACCCAAAAAGCTCAGTACTGGAACCAACTGACAATTATTTATAAATCAATTCCGGACTTGTCCCTACCTGTTAATAAAAAAAACACAACAAAACCTGAAGTGTGTTGACTAAATGCCTGGTCATGCCACCATTTATGATGGCGTATTTCAGTGGATTTATTACTTTTTTCCACCTTCCTTAACTGCTTAATTTGTTTTTGGTTGTCAATCCAGATACTCTTTTGTTTGTTACATTATTTGTGGCGAGCACTTGCATGTTCCCAACTGGCTAGCGTGTTAGTTGTTAGTTTGTCTGCTACGCTATTCAATTTTTTGAACTTTTCTATTTCCTCAGGTTCAGGCTGTGCTACTTTCTGGTGTGACCCAGGCCATAACCTTATCCTGGGAAAAGTGAAAATACTGCGACACTGGAACATTTGTTATTTATTTAGCCTATTTTTATTTTTTCATCGCTCCTGTTAATTTTATGCATGGCAGGCCAACATCTTTTTAATTTTTAACTGTACACATAAAGTAATATACACATGTTTACATCCACATGTACCTTTTACTAAAAACCTGTTCAAACAAAACCCCTGCCAGTTGCTTCCTTGCTCTGTTCTTCATTTCTCTGTTCACTTATTGTCATTTCTCTAATATCATAAGAGTGAAAACAGAATTCTGCCAGAAACACATTGACAATGCTTTATTGTTTATCATTTAGTATATGCAACCCCTTTAGGGAAAATGCTTTTACTGAAATCCAGATCTGTGTTTGTAGCTTTAAGTATACAGACACAAAAACACACACCCAGAAGTCCCTCAGGCCATGACGCCACACCTGACAAATAGAGCTGACCAGAGCACTGCTGAAGTGATACTTCTCGTTTCTTACTCTCATCATGGTGACCTCGAGCAAGCAACAGACACATCGCCACAGAGACTGCGTGTTCCAGTATTTGGCTGAGATTAGAGGACACTGCTTTGCAACGCCTTTGATACAGTTACTAAGTGGTACATCACCTGCCCATTGGGGGTGTGTGTGATGTGTGTCTGCATCCAAACTCCTGTGGGAATAATGGTTTTGACAATTTTACACAAATGCAACACATAAAAACAGACCGGTGAGTAAGGACAAACTCTCCGTCTCAGTCATTTATTTTGTCTTTCACCTTATGGGTGCATCACTACATTGACTTCCTGCAGTGGCAGCTGGTGGTCAAATGAAATACTGAATGTGCTCTTTCCTTGTTAGCTCACTGTTCAGTGTGAGCAGTATGGGGGTGGGGGGGTATGTATGAGATTTTGTTACCCTGAGACTTCTTGTTACTGATGTTACGGAAACCAGCAGGACTAATCCATTAACAGCCATCCTCAGGGAGCAGAGAGATTAGGCCTGAACAAATTGTCACCACTTGTCATTGGGACACGCTTTGCTCTACAATACCACAGGGAGCCATTTAAGGCCTGGCCTAAACTAAACTCTCTCTTTATCCTACAAAGCATGGAAATAGTGCCTTGGCAAAAGAGGTGGTTGTGAGGAGGGGAGGGAGTGAGGAGCCTGAGTGAGCGTGAGAGCCACAGGGCAGTGAGCAGAAAAAACAAGAAAGATGTGGGAGGGTAAGAGAAAAAAAATTATATTTTTCCCAGCTTTATAGTTGGGCATTGCTTATTTACTTTGTTAAAAGAGTATGCTTGGCTATTCTTGGTATCAGTTCAATCCAAACAGACTAGTACTCACAGTACAAAAGCAAAACAGATTTCAAACCCTCTTTATAACTCTGTTGTTTTGCTGTGTTCTCTCTGAGTGGCACTACAAATGTTTACGGATAAGTTTGTAAAAACAAAAGTTATATACAATTTTAAATTGTTGGATGTATAAAAGTTTTCAACACTCAGAAAATACTGTACAATCAGCTACCAGTTTATTATGTACACCTAGCACAAAGCTAGTGCAAACCTGTAATAAATCAAACCCTTGTTCGTTTTTTTCGTGTATTTTGTGGTGCTGTTGAATTTTATTGCACTACATCGAGAAGTGTCTACCCTGATTCGTATAAATGAGGTGCATAAAATATTAAATTGGAAGTTTATACTGTATATGCTAGTGTAGTATTTTAGTCATGCTAGCAGCAAGGCTCTATGAATGGCAGTGTCAGTTTGTCGTGGGTTGGTCGATCGGTCCACCACTTTGCTCCAAACTGAAAGTCTCAATAACATTTGCAAGGTTCGCCATGGCATTCACTACATACATTCATGTTCCCCCTAGGATGAATTCTAATGGAATGACACCTGCAAGCAAGTTCAGGCAGTCAACTCGAGCTGCACTGCTATTTACACACATGACATGCCAAACACATCCTCCCAATTTGACAGTCTATTAAAGCTGCAAAATGTCCCATCTTTCCCTCTGCCATGTCATCGCCACCACTGCCCTAAATCAGGACTGCGGCCTGTTTGTTCAGTCCCACCATTATCCTAGCATCCTGACTAGGGGGTTTAAAATATTGCTTATTACTCCCAAATATCTTTATTTAACTATATCTGTGGGGAGTGATGAGTTTGAAACCTGGACGCCAAACTCTATGTTCTTCTGATGTAATAAATATTGAAACAACAACTGAAATAACTTTAGTGATCCCCTGACCTTTCAGTTAGCGCCATCATCAGGTCAAAAGGTCAACATTTAATTTGTCCAATAGTTTGCCTTATGACCAAAGACATGCTAAATTAATGACATTGTCATCTGCCTCAGCTTTGTATTTAGGGCTAATTAGCAAATGTGAGCATGAACTAATGTGCAGAACACTATACCTGCTAAACATCAGCATGTTAACATACTAACAGTAGCATAAGTGTAGTTTCAGAGAGCTGCTAGGGTGGCTGTAGTGTCTTCTTTTAGCAATGTAGGTTTACATTTTGACAAATCTGCACCATGAAATGTCATGCTGCACCAGTAACAGTTTCTGTTTGCACTGTAACCATGGATGCACAGACAACAGTCACCAGGATTACTTTTTATGCTGACGAGAAAGTCTAAATTTGATGAGTTACACCGCCTCTAACAGTATGTACACCTGTGACGTCCCCTGTGCTCTTGATTTGAGTTATGGCCCTTGGAGGTTTCTGGGGTTTTTTTTCAGGCAAATACATCAGTCAAATGCTGGGGTTAAATAAAATTTCTTTCTCCCTCTCTCACTCTGCCATGCTTGTCTTTCTAGCGCCTCTTCCTGCTATGTTGTAAATATATAATTCTCCAACTGAGTTACGAGTACAGGTGCTTCACACTAACACGTCATAACTCACTTTAACCAAGCAGCTTTTATTTGTCTGTCACGGATGACTCTGCCTTAGCAAACCTCCTGCCTGCCCCTTGTCCCGCCCTGATTTTTCTCCTTTTTTTTGTTCTTTGTTGTTTCTTTAATGCTGTTGCTCTCAATAAAGCACACACACATATAGACGGTGGCATCTACACACTGACACACACACCAAGTATGAGTCATGCACAGCATCACTTTGACATGTAGACCACTCTCCCAGGCAGAGCGCTGCCTTTTTCGATCAAACTAGATTGTTGGAGCATTAAGCCAGTAAGAGCTCCTGCTGACAAACAGGTAAACAAAACGTTTACTGTATATCTGTCCTGAGTACCCGGAAGATGATTTTGTCTTATTCCACAAATATGAAATTGAATCACTCGGTTTTTGCCTCTCGCTCTCCCGTTTCCCCTCTCTTTTGCTCATTTTTCACTACTGTAGATTTTGGTGTGTGTGTGTGTGTGTGTGTGTGTGTGTGTTTTGAGAGAAAAAAAGAAATGGAAATATCTCATCATAGCAGATTGACGTCAGTTTGGATATCTGTGAGGAGGCTTACTCTCAGCCATCAATGTCAGCAGCCTAATACTGGCAAATGTGTCTGTGTGTGTGTTTGTGTGTTAGACATTCAAGCATGGTTTCTCCTTCCTCAGAATTGCTTCTCAGAGTGTTTTTAGAAAAGCCTTGACATTTTGTTCTGTGATTTTTATGATTTTGTACTTCTGTACAAGTGTGACTCATTTAATCTGTCTGTCTATCTTTCTGTCTGTCTGTCTGTCTGTCTGTCTGTCTGTCTGTGTGTTCCAGCTACCATCATTTTGAATGAGCTAAATTGGACAGAGGCCTTGGAGGAGGTTTTCCGGAGCAACAAAGAGGAAGATCCGTCACTCCTCTGGCAGGTGTTTGGCTCTGCCACCGGATTGGCTCGGTACTACCCAGGTGAGTAGGCCCTACAGCTGATGGGGTTACTCCAAGAGCCTGCTGTCCTTCCTGTAGTCAGTGATGGGGACAGAAATTGCAACCCAAGGGCCATTTCATCATGTTGCAAGGAGATACATGCAAACACAAGCAAACTTTTCTTAACACTGTGTTGCTGTCCACTGACTTTACCACAAATCTTTCTTGTGACTTTTGGATGAGAAAGAGGCATGATAGCCATGAATCACTTTTTGAAAAATATATGTGAAGATGGTCATGAACGTTGTATCTCTGATAATGTTTGGTTTTAAAATCTTACTTTTGAATTGTCCCCTATACTTAAAAGATTGCAGTAAATTAATTGTTCTAGCTTTCTTGCCAAGAGTACAAGAGCAGATCAAGACTGCTCTCATGGCTGTGTGCTAAGTATCAAACTAGCACCAGGAGGCACATTGCTTAGCTTAGCAGAAAGATTTGATGCAGGGGGAAATACCTCTACCCTGGCTCTTTCCAAAGTGTTTGCTGGTTCCTTGGCCGCTTTTAATTGCCAATTTTACAATTAAATTTTGTACAGATTAAACACAGGAGCAGAGGTGCTTGATGCTAAGCTAAGCTTATCACCTCCTGGTTGAAGTTGCATACTTAACACACAGAAATCAGATCTTCTCTTCGAACTCCTGGTAAATAAGTAAATAAGCCTATTTACCCAAAAGTCCAAACTATTCTTTGAAAGATACATTAAGATATAAGACACAAGATGATTTGGCCATTGACACACCTATTTGCTGTTATTAACTTAGATACAAACTTAATGTAAACATACTTTCTTTTCCACATTTCTTTCCTTCTGCCAAATGCCAGCATCTCCTTGGATCAACTCGAGCAATTCGGCAAATAAGATCGACCTCTACGATGTGCGCAGGCGACCGTGGTGAGTGTAGACGCTTGATGTGCGGTTTTATTTCTGTCTCTCTAATCATCTCATTGTAAGTAATTTCTCTAGTGTTCAGACTCAACCCTGTGTAATTGTCATATTAAACATTAATTTGCAAAAAGTGTATTTGCATGTTGCATAAACTGGTTACACAAAAGAGCATCTGTACACACAAACACAGAGTTTTAAACAATCATATCCAGGTGTCTGACCAAAGCCAAACCCACTCAAACAAACACATCAGAGCACTATGATGATTAAGCCACCGCAGATCAAAGGGTACCAATACAAAAGCTTTAGTAGTCTTAGACACACAATGTTTTGTTTATTAAAGAAATGGGAGAAAGAATATCAGAGTCTGATTTATTTTAAATGCAAATTATTGTATGTGATATTTGTTTACTTGCTCAAAGAGAAATAAGAGCGATATGACAGTCTCATAACTATTACGTGTTTCTTTGTGTTGTATAGATTCTTTAGAAATTAGTTTTAAAAATCATTCATGCATTACGATAATTACATGTATGTTTTCTGTGTCTCTGTCTATATACATACATATATATATATATATATAGATATATTTATGTGCTATATATGTGCTATATCCATAACCTGTGTGTGTGTGTGTGTGTGTGTGTGTGTGTGTGTGTCTGTGTGTTATTACTCACCAGGTACATTCAGGGGGCGTCGTCACCCAAGGACATGCTGATCCTGGTGGATGCGTGAGTGACGACCTTATGATTCATATATTACAGTCAGATTTTATTTTCTTTTGTCCAATGCTAACTCTATGACTGGCTGCACCCCCGCTGGGCACTGCTGTGCTCCTAGCTGCCTCGGCACTCGTGTGACACTGACAAACAAATATCAGTGAGTGTATTGGGCAACTTCATCATTTGCAGTCCAGTTGTTTCTTCGTGTGATTTATGCCTTAAAAGTTTAGGTTAGTTTTTTAGGTTAGAGAGGATTCTGGAGCAACAGCAGTATATAGAACCACAGATCATTTTTAAGAAATACATGATTTGGATGTTTTTTGATTTCATCATATTCGTTTCAAAATGGAGAAGATGGAGTTTATTCTCTGTAATTACCAAGGCCAAACGGTTGAAACCCCATTCCAACTGACGATTAATTGGAGTGCAAATTTACCAATAATTATGTAATGTGATATCATAGTTTAAATCTTAATAAATAGCGTCAAATTGTTTTTTGGGTAGAAAGAAGGTATTTAGGAGAAACAAACTGAAAGGGTAAGGCCTGCAATATTCTATATTTTTATTATTGTCAATGTGATCCTCTGAAAGGAGCCTGAAAGGAGTGTTGCCTGTGTATCCAAAGCCTGATATAGCTTATAACTCTGCCCGAAAGACCTCCATTTCTGTAGTTTATTTTGAGTCACTCAATCATACACTGTCTTGTTGTTGTAAATAGTCATTACAGCACTAAATGTGTATTAATCTGTGGGTAAATAATTCTCAACAAATACTCCATTTTCTCAAGGTTGAGCGGTGTTTGCTAAAAACAACAGTGCCCAGCTGTTTTAGGAAATTACTAAGCTTTTTCCAAAAATATATATTGGTGACATGTTTAAACATTTGCATCTTCAGGAGGCTTATGGCCGAGAGCCACAGACCAGGAAGAGGTCAGAAAGCATTGAGAGACGGACTAACGCACTGTTGGTTTCTGTCTTTTTATGGACTTTGTTGACCATAAGAAAAATATTCAATAACGGCAGCCTTATCCTTTAAGGCCGCTCTAAAACCATTTTTATACTAGCATACTTTTCCCCCTTATAATTGCTGATGACTCGACGATCATTCCCACTTCATTATCTACCATAACCAGTGGAACCACAGTTAAAGAAATGCCTGCTGCATGCAAGAACATCAACTGCGTCAAAGTGATTTGTCTAAATTTTTCCACTCAGGTGGAGGTTCATCAGAGATGACACTGATGGCAGAGCACCAGGGCTAAATGATTACGCAGTATGTTAAATGAAAAACTAAATGTGCCCACTTTCAGCTCTTAACACAGCTCTGGTAATTGGCCCACAGAGGATTGATGAGGCTTATTAGACATTAAAAGCTTTGGTGAAAATAACTTTTTATCCATTTTTCAAGTTTCTGTCCTTTTCTTTTCTTTTACCTGCAGGAACCAATTTAGTGGCGTATTTATATATCAAACAGTGCAGGCTCCCCATCTTGTTTTAGCAAGCAAGAAAATGATCAAAGCAGTCTAGTCTTGGCAGTGCTGATATTTTGTCATTAATTTTATAACATTCACTAACATTCACAAGCCATTAGCTGAGACATGTGTATCGCTCATGTCATTATTGAAGCTTACCTAATTTGGTGGTTAATGCGACATCTAGCTTGCTTGTTAATGGAAGAAACATGTAGTCACGAGATCCAATATCTGCTGCTTATAGCTCATGACTAGTTTTATGCCCTGCAGGCGAAAGGCTTTAAAAATGGCAATGTCAGTTGTTGTTAGTGCATAATAAGTTATCTCGACAACTAGCTAGACTGCTATGAAGTTTGGTATGGATATTTAAGGTTTGGAGACCCACTGACCATTCCTTCACTGCCCTGATCAGGCAGAAAGTCCAGTTTTCAAAGGGACAATTGACAGAGACATTTTTCCTTAAAAAAACTTTTTATTTATCCATCTAGCAGCAGGAAAGCAGAGGAGTACAGCAATACATTTCCGGAAAAGTATGTAAAGAGTAAAGAGTATTTCACATTAGAAAAGAGAGCACAAGTGGAGCAAGTCGGCAGAGGTGCAGTTAAAGAGCTTTGTGCCATTAAAAGGTTAAATTTAAATTTTTTATTTTGTATTTTTTTATTTTATTTAACATTTATTTTACCAGGAGAGATTAAGAACCTCTTTTTCAAGGGTGACTTGGCCAAGACAGACAGCAGCATATAAAAAAATACAAACACATAGGTACAGACAAATAACACAGAAGACTAGTAAGCTAACATTTCATAAAGTCATTTTAAATCATTTTTACAATCTAAGAGAATTTACGTATTAAGGCATCTGCCTCTAAGTCTTTCATTTTGGATTTAAATGCATTTAACGAGATTAATTCAGTGAGTTTGAAGTCCTTTTGCAACGTATTCCATGCTGAAGGTGCAGAATACAGAAATGCCTTCTTTCCCGTTTCCGTACGGGTATTTGGCACAGAGAGTATAAAGAAGTCCTGAGAACGCAAGGAGTGTCGCCCATTGCTTTTCTGCATGATGTGAACACATAGGTAGCTTGGTAGCAGACCAAGAATTGCCTTATATATGAAAGTGTACCAATGACATAGCCTATGTTAATGCCTATTTAAATGTCCATTAAAACCAGTGGACCAGTTTTTTGTACTATGCTATTGATTGATGTTGTAAAACATAGACCATCTTTGTTTCAAACTGCAGGAGTGGCAGCGTTTCAGGTCTCACCCTTAAACTCATCCGAACGTCCGTCAGCAAGATGCTAGAGACCCTCTCTGACGATGACTATGTGAACGTGGTCTATGTGAGTATTCACACAGAAATACTTATATCATTTTAAGTTACAGAGTTTATTTTTTGGGGAAAATCCTGTCAAAAAAGTTCTTATGATTATTTATATGTATTGAATTTCCAGGTGCACACATTGCTGAATGTTAATGTGGACATTTTTGAAGCTTGACTGTTTGAGTCGCTTTACTCATGCAGTTTGGTTTGAACATGGCAGTGACCTTTTTAATGTTTAGCACGTCTTTATTATGGCTGCATTCATGCATGAATGCATGCATGCTTGTGTGCTGTGTGCTGAAAGATAGGTTTGACAAATGAATGTATGGTGTATTTATGACCCACACTTTGAATCAGTGGCATGTCATATAAAGGCCCCTGTTAGCCTAATTCTGTTGGAATCTGAGGCATCAAAGGATTTTCTGAGATGGGGGTCGAGGAAATATTAATCCATTATCATTTAAAGCTCAAGCAGGTTGCATAAGTCAGATACATGCTTCCTAGCAATATTAGTTGTTGAACGTGAAAATAACACAATTTTAAGTGGTTACAGTGCTTATTTCCCTCTACTGGATGAATTTGTGAGGAGTCGAGAAGGCATGTTGCTAGAATCCACCTCTTTATGCTGTTGTTAGGAAACCATTAAGCTGCAGTTGTCCGTCACTTATTGAGCGAAGCTTGTATATTTTAGCTAATGTCTAAAGAACACACCAACACTTTAATACATGGTATCTGTTGAAACAAAGTGAGGAGAATTAACCACTGCTAAGTTGTCCTTGTTTGCATGGAATCTAACAGAAGAAGGTCCTCTCAAGCTTGCTAGCCAAAGCTTCTTAACTGTCAGTTAGTAAGCTTGTTAGCTTGTTTGCTACAGGATTAATACATTCTAGTAATGATAGCTTCCTCCATCCAGCTCTGTGTCCCATTAGGGGGTCAGCACTGTGAAGATGGCTTACTATTGGTCAACTGCGCAAATTTTTGAAAATGGAAGACTTAAAACTAGAACGACAAAAAGAGAAAAAAAAACACATGTCAAAAAGACAGAACAGTGACAATATGAAAAGAAAGGGCAAGATATCACTGAAGAAAGGAGAAAATGGTTAAACACATTGGAATTAATGAAAGTAGAGGCAACTCCTCCAAAATGTCATTGATTGTCAGTTACATCTGTCCTTTCTCTGAGAAATTAGATTACACAAGAACAAAAACACATTCTTTCAATGTAACTGAATTAAAAGACCCCATAGCTGTTAAAAAGGGTCAACTGACCAATCACTGAAAACAATAACAGGCTGTCAGAAGGAAGGCAAGCACAACTGAACAAGACATGTCAAACCTTCCAGGCAGAAGTAGCAGACATCCACTGCCCATCAATGGAGGACTTCCTGGAAAAACTGATTTAACTGAATGGTGACAGTGACGCTGTTAACTGTTAACTGTTATACAGATCTTTTATGTCTCACCTCATCCACCCAACACTGTTGTCTGCCTTCCAATTCTAGGAAAAGAAGTAGGAGATACATTTTTTAGCAAATATGCTTCATTTCTTTCTTGCCAAGGGTTAGGCAAGAAGATCATTACCACTCTTGTGTCTGTCTGTTAAATAAAAGGCTACAGCTAGTAGCTGCTTGGCTTAGGCAGATAATCCCCTGTAAAAACAATTTTCACACTTGTTAAACCGTGTTAATGAGATTAAGAGGTGACAGTAGGAGGATTTTGTTCGGACAGAGCTAGGCTAGCTGTTTCCCCCTGTTTTTAGTCTTTGTGCTAAGCTACTGGCTGTTAGCTGTAGCTTCATATTTACCGCACAGACAAGAGAGTGGCATCAATCTTTTCATCTGTCAGTGGGAAGCAAATAAGCATCATTCCCAAATTACTGAACTATTGCTTTAAGCCACTGTCTTTTTTTCCTTTTCTTTTTCACAAATGTTACATCACAAACAAATATTGGATAGCATTTGAATATATTGAATCAGCATACAGGTGGTCTGGCTGCAAACTCATCTGCTTTCCCCCCATTAATGCGCATTTAGCCCCGTTTTTAACAGTTTAACAGTTGCCAAAGATGCACTTTTTTCAAAGAGATTCCTTTAATGGGATAGGACAGGGGGAGAGGGACAGGAAATGCAGGAGAGAGAGAGGAAGCGACCTGCAGAAAAGGGTTGCGGGTCAGACTCAAACCTGGGCTGCTGTGGCAAAGACTTAGCCCAAGTACATGATTCTCCCAAGATGTACTTTTCTTAAATGTCTCGCAACTTGCATCTTTGGCACACAACAAGTGCCTATGCTCTATCTGAAATCTCCTTCTTAATCCTTATTTGCCTCCTCTTTGTCCTTCTTCCTAATTGGAGGGAACATAAATTACTTTTTCAGTTTGCTTTCCAACTGAAACATTAATTACATTTTCTTTCACTTCCCTGAATAAAGCAGTGGTTTACGTGTTTGTTTGGAGCTTTCAAATCAGCTAAGTGAAAGGGCTTTTGCAGTTAATGAAATCAGGCAGCAATATAATAAGTATATTGATGGCATCCAGCTCAGTTTTTTTAGACCATCCAGAAGCATTTTGAAGCTTTTTGAAGGTGGAATCTATTTTGTGAAACCTTTCATAATAAAATAGTGTAATTAAAGCGACTGGGTCCACACTCAGCTCTGTTGTGTGTGCGTAGCTGGTTACAAGTAATTCTGTATAAATCACTCACTAAGGCAAAACTTGTATGTTTGGAGTGAATATATTTTATCATCTTATTCATTTTATCAACATCTATGTTTTGCCCATGAAATACCTATATCAGTGAATGTGAATATCTAAATGACTACCCTGAGGTGTCTCACACACAGAAGCACACACAACCCATTGAAGTCAATACAATTCCATAACCCAATAGTTAATTACTGTCTAATCCTTAATTACCTGAACTTGAATACAGAATAAAATTTGTGATGCTGTAATTTCCTTGTAAAGTCCAAGGACGTCTCCTGGAAAGAACTATGTAATTTGGTGTTAATTATGGGGCAAATGGAGTCCATATTCTGAGATGGTTGTGCGTGTAATAGCATGAATTTAATTAAGTGAAAGTGTACCAATTGAAGGCTGTATTAATTTTCCCCTTTGTTCGTAATTCCAATTTACATAGTCCTTGCCAGGAAGCATCTTAATAATTAGATTAATTAAATATAAGTTGCATTCTGGGACATCTTTTAATAAAGCTTCCAACCTATTTCTATGCAAACTTTGGCTCTAAATATGTATGTGGGTATGTACTACCAAGGTAGGCATTAACAGTATAGAACCATGGTAGTGACTATAAACCATTTTAGGTATTTTTTAACACAAACATATATATATAGAACATTCCCACATACAGTATGGTGTTCTGACGAGCTTTTATTAGATAGAGATTAGATAGAGATATTTTAAGATGTGTTTTATAAGTTAGATGGAGTTCTAACTGAAGATGGTTTATATTAGAGTGTGTGTGTGTGTGTGTGTGTGTGTGTGTGTGTGTGTGTGCGCGTCTGTTCAGAAGACTAATGTCTTGGCAGCATTTGCCCTGACACTTCCGCCGACATGTTGAATAGAAACAGTCATTGTGAGCTGTAACATCCTTTGGCGTTCTAAAAACATAAACCAATGTGAAGGGAGAAAAAATAGCAAAGAGCTGACACATAAACTGTGTTAAATTGTGTCCTTTTCTCATAGATCCTGGATTTTGTGTTTGCTTAAACTGTCACTATTAACCACTCTTATATCTTTACTCTGTGTTTTGCATGCATTGCAATGATCCTGGAAGCATATCGTCTTACTTCTGTAAATAATTTTTAGAATAATATACAATACTTGGGCTTCTTTGCTGACAATACTGACTCACCCAAAACTTCTCTTTGTAATTGCCCTTGTCATTGTACTACTATGCCATTTCCACCATTTTGTCACCCATATTTGACATTTTATGTGACCATACAGTCAGATCCTTGTTTTTCAGCTTGAGAATTCCACCTAGACTTTTAGACGATCTCAAGCACAACGGACAATTCCCTCAAGTAACCAGCTGTGCAGATCTAAGCAAATGTTAATAAAGAAAATAAAAATAGTGTATCAGACTGGTGGTGACTATCTGCCGATATTCAAACTTGTGCTGCCAGAAAATGTGGGTACGTGTTTGAGAATGTGTGCGTTAGTGAGTGTGTTTTTAACATGATCATGATTGCAAGTCAAGGCCAAAACAGATGTTAGGTATTAATTAGCTATGTCCCAGTCTTCCATAGATGCTGTGTGTGTGTGTGTGTGTGTGTGTGTGTGTGTGTGTGCGCGCGTGCATTTGCGTGTGTGCGTGCGTGTGCGTGTCCATCTGTTCCTCCACATTAACTATTCGCCAATATTAACCTGAAGACACTTTACATGTAAGGCTGTGTAAAAGTAATTTAACCATTTTAACCATTTTCAGTAGTGTCTGTCTCTATGGCATAATCCCTCCATAATCAAGCTCTTTGTTTTTTTTTGCCTCCTTATGCCACTGTTTTCACATCCCTACCTGCTCTCCTGCCAATCCTTCCTTCTGCTCCTATAGCTCCCTTCGGTCTGTGCAGATTTGATTAAGACTGATTGCATTTCACGCATGGCAGATTTTTTTAAGTGTTATTAAAGTAGATCAATATACTTTATAACATCTGTCAATTATTATTTTATTTGATGTCAAATGGAATCAATTTAATCTCTCTTGAAATACTTTATGTTAAGTCCATCCTATATGTTTAAGGGACACTGCATGACTCCGTAGTAACGAAGGGAAAACCAGGCCACATATTTAACAGCAAATATGTGCAAGTGCCTTCCCTCCACTTCCCATCATCCCTCCTTCCCTCTTCCCTCCAGTTCAATGACAAAGCCACGTATGCGTCATGCTTTGAGAACCTGGTGCAGGCCAACGTCCGCAACAAGAGGATGCTGAAAGATGCTGTGCAGAGCATCAGTGCCAAGGGTATCACCAACTACAGAGGCGGCTTCGAGCTGGCCTTCGAGCAGCTCGCACAGGTAAAGTGTGAGTCTGGGCATGCGTGGTGGTATATTTTTGTGGTATCTGTGGTATCTGTGTTTGGCTGACATAAGGACGTAGGAGTGTGTGTGTATGGTGAATGGGGGTAGGGATGGTAATGTTGAGGACATCGCTGTCAATCTGTTGTGTTTAATTATTTTATCCAACAATGTCCTTTGAAATATGCAAACCAACCCACAGGCTTGGTGAACCCTGCAAATCTACTTAACAGTCTAATATAATTCATGTTCATTTAATTTCTCAATTTCATTTAATTATGAAAGTACTGATGGAACATAGGACACACTGACAACTCAATTCCCATTGTGTTCTAATGAAGAGTGAGTATATGTCGACCTCTTCTGGTTGTTTCAGACATTGCATATTTTTGTATTACTGCAAGAGCTTATGTTTCACATGCCAGTTTTTGTATGTATAAAGAGGCATCACCCTTGATTGGCTTTGCAACCACTTCTTCAGCCGGTTCCTGTAACAATATGAATGTGTGGTTATTCACTTTCCTTGGTTAAATAGTGGTTAAAAAGCAAATATTTTTGCCTTTGTATCCCCTAGATGAATGTGTCAAGGGCCAACTGTAACAAGATTATCATGCTCTTCACTGACGGAGGAGAAGAGAGGGCAGAGGAGATCTTTGAAAAATACAATCCTAAGCAAGCGGTAGGATTGTAAACACAAGTTCAGAGACTTCAATACAGCGGTCTTTGCTTTTCATCATACTCATTTTCTTTCTCCTCTTAGGTGCGCATCTTTACATTTTCAGTAGGTCAACACAACTACGACAAAGTACCAATACAGTGGATGGCCTGTGCTAACAAAGGTACGAGGTGTCCATGTGACACAGAACTCGTGATATATCTGATGTGCATTCTTCTGTAGGATGAAAACCTAATTAAAAAATACTTTAAAGGGCCCATCTGTGATCCAAATATAAACTAATTAATTTTAAATTATTGATAGGTCTTTGCTAAATTGTCTTCTTCTTAAATCTTAATCTTAAATTAACAATTCTTCATATATTAGTAGCATTTTGTAAACACTGAAGAAAAACAGGCCTATGTTTTCAATTATGACCAGCTGACAAACACAAAATGCGCTATATTTCACTTTTATTGTGAGCACACCTTTATTTACATGATAAAAATAACTACAGAATGGCCCTTTTTAAGTTCATCTCAAAGTTCATTTGAGTCAACCTGATGTAAGAGGTGGGTGGGGATTGAGTTTCAGTAGGTTTCTCATTTTGGCTAGGTTGCCATTCCCAGAATAGTCTTTCAGACTATATTAGATTACTTGATCAATATGAATATAGCTTCTTGCTAGTTGGGGTAATCTCATCAAAATAAAGCTGATCTTTCACAATGGATATTAGAATAAACTTATGTCTTAGTGGACCCAAGATTGCTATGGACCCGAGTACAGACTAGCTAGAGAGAGTAGCTACAGTGTACTTCTCTGTTTATTCTCTTTTCAAAATAATTGTAACTCAATTATTTGCTCAACCCTTCAGCCTGTTTTTATTTTTCCATTTAACTCTTTTAACCCTGATTGTACACTGCACTGTAACTTTTATTAGATTTTAATGTGTATTTTTTCAATTTCCCTACGTTGCATTTAAACTTTTTTATATTTCCCTGTTGCTTTTACGTTTTGTGTAAAGCACTTTCAATTGCCTTGTTGTTGAAATGTGCTATACAAATAAACTTTCCTTGCCTTGCCTTGCCTTTGTCTCAGGGTACTACTATGAGATCCCATCTATAGGTGCCATCAGGATCAACACTCAGGTAAACTCACATTCACTCATACAACACCACCACGGACACACTTATTTATTCATGATTGGTTGCTTCTTTACTTGTCTTTCCCTCCAGCTCTCTCCCTGGCTTACTAAACCCACTGTGTGTTGTGCCCTCATGTGGTGGAATGACTGATGTGCATGTAGAAAATTAAACTGAAGTCCTTCTCTCATCGTTTTTTTGTAGGAGTACCTGGATGTTTTGGGCAGGCCTATGGTTAAGGCCGACAAAAAGGCCAAGCAGGTTCAGTGGACCAACGTCTACCTGGACGCACTGGTATGTTATGTGTTATAACAGACACACATCACAGGATTGCATGCAAGTTAGTTTATGTAAAGACAGAATACACATCCCCGAGACGAGTGTGGGAAAAGGCAGTCACATGTGTAGTCAAATGCAAGCAAGAGAAGAAATCTGTTTTCTTTCAGATGGAGAATTTAAGATAAGTCGTGTTCGATTGTGATAAACATTTGCTGCTTGTCATCCTGGTAAACTCAACTTCAACTCTGTTCCAGTAGTGTTTGTGAAAGCACACATTAACGTTATTTCAAATATACTGCATCCATCAGATATTTGTGGTGGTTAAGCTTCTGTCAAGATGAACTTTTAGGTGACAGTGTAGATAAGAAACCAGTTTGGTAAACTGAGCCAAATGGTTTGGATATTGTCATCTGTTAACTGATAAGACGCTGTCAACGTTTGTGACTGTGTTGACCTCGTCGCCACCAGAAATGTCTCTGTTTTTTGTTACGGGAAACGTCTTATTTTTAAGATGTGGCTGTTGGTTTTCCATGGGACATGTATGGTGTCAGCTGTAGCCAGCTGTTTAACAGTGTTTTATTATGAACTTATGCCATGAACCATTATTTTTTTATTATTATTTTTGAGGTGCCTGCATACCAATTGTTTATTCAATATGTTGTATGTTTCGTGTTCCAGGAGCTTGGCTTGGTGATCACTGGAACGCTGCCTGTCTTCAACAAGACCAACACAGGCTCAAAGGTAGGCAAACAACTTCTTTTGGATTCTTATTTACTCATTTTATGTAGACCCTAATTTACTTTATTGACATAGTTATTGTCCCACGTTTTTTATATTATACTGTACGTGCTTATTCGCAGATTGTTTCTTGAATCACTAACTCATTTTGTCTTCTTTCGCGTCCATCTTGTTTACAAATGACTTACCGACTGAATTTACTGTACATCTGACACTTGGAAGAGCCATGGGAGAATTGGAGTCCTGCGGTTTTTGTGACTAGCCATAATGTTTGCCAGGCTAGAAAAATAAACATACAACATGAATACACTTAATTATCGTCTCATCCTTTACTTTTATCCTGCTCTTTCTTGTGGCTCTTCCTTATATCCTTTGGTGACGCTGAGGTCCCTCAAAGCTTTCCCACGTGCCCCCACAGGAAGAGACTCTGGGATCTCAAACCTGCAGATCAGAGCGAGACAAATGATCCAGTAGCAAAGAACTTGAAGATGAGTTTACATATCTGCCTCGAAGGACTCGGGGTTACCTCCACCATGGCTGAAAACAAGGCTGGAAATGCCTTTTCAGTGACTCATGGCAGCATGTAAAGCATTTGGGAATGAGGCTCTCCAGATTTCTATTGCACCCTGTTTCCTTGAAATCGTTCAGAATGCGCAGAGGGACTTGACTCACCCAGAAAGAACAACAGGGCTCACAGTGACTCTTTCTACCCCTGACTTCCTCTTCTTTTCTCTCAGAAATCTCAAAACCAGCTCATCTTGGGGGTTATGGCTATTGATGTTTCCCTGGAAGATATTAAGAGACTGACACCTCGATTTACTGTAAGAGCACACACTACATAAATAAACATACATGAACGCTAGCCTATTTCTAGATGTAGATATTTGGCATCTGGGTCCCTCTATCCTTCCTTTCACAAACATCTCCCTCTTTGTTTCCTTTTCCTGTAGTTTGGACCAAATGGCTACTACTTTGCTATTGACCCCAATGGATATGTGCTGCTCCACCCTAATCTCCAACCAATGGTAGGCAAAATCCATCAACTATAATTCAGAACAACTAGACTTTTTTTTTTCTAGGAACTGTCCTGTCATTTTGTATTCTTATTTTCACATTTTGGTCAAACAAACAAAACATGACAATCCTGATTGTCAACAGGCATTTTGTGACTGAGAATACATTCTGAGAAAAGATTCTCTTTTGCATCCTATAGGATATTACTACATATTACTTATTACTCAGTTTTAGCAACTCACTGTTACATGTTAAAAATGCACCTTTGTAGAGAGTGTCAGTATATCTGTTGCCATGCATAGCCAATATAATTTTAACATTAACATTAACATTGCTGCTGCAGAGACAATGTTAGCCTAAATAACAACATTGACTTTGTTTATATCATTTAGCCTACTTTTTTTAAACTTTTCAGTTCTTTGTTTTTAATTACCTGATCATATGGGTCCAGAATGATGTTTGTTCAAACATGGCAAGATGTTTCTCATTGACCCTTGACTTGTGCAATCATATTGTAAATTATGCATGCACAGATGGTCACAGATGATAACAACATTCAAAAGTCTGTGTTAACAGATAAATTAGTCCCTAATTAGTTCCCTGTTCAAGGCTACAAAAATAAGTATCAGTTTTGGAAACAGAATCAATAACTGATGTTTTTTGCTCGATTTCGCTCCTTTGGACTCAAAGCCAATAAATTATAGTATGCACCACAGACTAATTGCTTGCATTTCTATGCAGACTGCCAAGTTTCATGAACCTGTAACTTTGGACTTCCTGGATGCAGAGCTGGAGAACGAGATCAAAGTGCAGGTTTGGAAAATAGATTAGTCCAACTCCTATGATTCCAAGTCATATCAGAATCGATAGCACTGTAATTTCTGTATATAGTATGATTGATGCTTTTGTTTCTTTAATTAATTAATATGTTTATTTTGGATTATTTGGTCAACAGATTAGAAAAGAAATGATTAGTGGTTCTACAGGGAATTACACAATATCTACATTGGTGAAATCCCAAGATGAGGTAATTTTATATTGAAAAGACATTGCAGTCCATGACGGTTATAAACACATTTGCTTAGAAAGTGTATCATGTACTGACCAAACTGTTGCCTCAAAGCGCTACATTGACTTGGGTCAGAGGACGTACACCTTTGCACCAGTGAAGGGGACAGATTACAGGTAAATATCATGTGTTAAGCATGTCTCATTAAGTGATAAATCCATCGTAAGCGTAAAGTATTTTTTACCAAATCTCACTGCAGAAATAGCTAAAAGGTTACATGCAAGCATACATGCTTTTATGATATTTTGGTATTAGATCTTTTGTGTATGTGTCCTCTCTCAGCCTGGCCCTGGTCCTTCCTGAGTACAGTATGCATTACATTCGGGCCAAAATCGGGGACACAATTACCCAGGCAAAATGTAAGTGCCATCCTAATCAGTTCAATCTCTTAGTTTTTCCACTCAGAAACATTTACCTTCCATTTATACAGACAGTAGATAAATGTTGCTGGTTGGAAAACGACTACTAATGTTCTCCAGTGACATTATTGCTCGTGAGGCTGAGAAACTGCTGCCTCAGTTTATGGTTCCGATCTATCAGTTAAAGTGCTTAATGCTCATATACATACACACCCATATACATCTACACCACCACTACATGCCATCGCCTCTTGTGTGGCTGTGGCTACACACACCCTCAGTTGTGGTGCTGTTCAAAGTTGTTGTTGCCAGACAGCGGGACGAGAGGCTCCGGTGTCCCCTTTCAAACATATAGTACTCATCAATTCATTTACAGCTAACTACCTCACTCTACGTGTTTGTCTATAAGTGTCTGTCTGTACTGTATGTGTGTTCATCCTCAAGCCTATTGGATATTATAGGGCAGATCAGAGGTTCCATATGTGTGGTGCTGTCGTCTCTTTTGAGCTCTGTCAGTTCCCACTAGTAAAAGATGTCATTGAGTCATAGTGTTACTCAGAGAGAAGTTTTATAATGTGAGTGTGTGTGTGTTCACTGCAGTTAAGATGGAGCTGCCCCTGGTTAGACTCTGTCCCTCTGTATGTTTGATGGTCCACCTGGCTGCACTCAGTGGCCAAAAGTGGGCTCTCAAGAACTTTGAGACATGGTGATTTTGTGATGCACTGCAAACCAGCCTAGACAACCATATATATGGTTTAGTATGTTTGTTTTTTAAACTTTAAACATTATTACCAATCCTTTTCCAAACATATCATATATTTTAAGTCTTAATTTCCCACCTTAGCATTTGGCTACTCTTAATTGCAGAAAGCTGTGAAATTCAACTGGCAAAGACATGAAGCCAGCTTGACATTGGTAATCCCTCTTGGTGAACGTTTCATCGCCTTTATTTTTTAGCAGTTTCATTCAGCTCAGTCATGAAAAAATTCCTTCTTGGTGGTGCTTTTAAGGTTGTTCCAGTGTCTTGAGATGTAGGTGTTGGCTTGGCACCTGAATGCTGAAGCAACTTTATGAAACAATGAGACCGGAGGATAGACGGGACACAATGCAATTGTTTTGGACATTGCACTGACTCACATTCAATCCTTGGGGCCTTACCTAAACTGTAGCCATACCCATAACTACAATGCCCAAACCCTGACTCTAAACCTAACCTTAAAGAGTGTGTAAGATTTAGTGGCATCTAGTGGTGAGGTTGAAAATTGCAACCAACTGTCCAGTCTACCACTGCCCCCTACCCTTTCAAAGAGCTTAGGACACCTACGGTGGCGGACGCAGCACAAAAGGTGTCTCTTCTGAGACAGCAGAGAGTTGCCAGTCAAGAAATGAGGTATAATAGTTCATAATAGTTTAAATTTATACAAACATTGATAAGGGAAACATGTTAATTCTCTCTGTGATTATGGACCCAGCAATAATATCTGGCCCCCAGACATATTATGGTGCTTTGATAGCGGCAAAAAATTAAAATAAATAAATACTTTGATTGTGGTGATGAAATAGATCTCAGTCATGGCAGCAACAGTTATACACATAATCACTTCCTCTTTAGTGGTTGTGCCTACAAAATAAAAGAAAATTGTTTGCGGTAATGCTTTGCTTGGAGTTGTTTTGAGAGCTTTTACTTTGAAAATTCTGAACGACATTAAAAGAATCTGTAGCCTGGTTGACACACCTCTGAAATAGCCATCAGAAAACATGATTTTCCTAAATGTCCTCTGCCTTGAGACACTGGGGAAATGAAAAAGCACTGATGGATGCGGATCGAACACTGAAACACAAACATTGCAGCACATGCTGTAATATGAGCCTGAGAAACGGTTGCTGCAGAATCCATTTGTTGAAAGAGGGGGAAAAAGTCACCCTGAGGTGGGATCAAACACACAACCCTGGGGTTGCAAGTCCTGCACTCTATCAATTGAGCTAACCAAATATCATGTTAATGGCATCTAATATTATGTCTCACCCACCGAAATTTAAGAATTGCTCTGATGCAAAACTTATTTGCCGACCACTGCTGTATATTATTACTTCTTATTCTTCTTCATTGAATGTATGTATTCAACATAGTGATTAGTGTCTACACTGCCTGAATTCTACCAAAAGTAGAACAAGAAGAATGTAGTGACGAAACGCGCTCTGTAGCGCTGTTTGTTCGTTTTGGGCTACTGTAGAAACATGATGATGCAACATGGCGACGTCCAGGGGGGACCCGCGGTTATGTAGATATAAATGGCTCATTCTAAGGTAATAAAAACATAACAGTTTATTATGTAAGGTCTTTATACACCACTGAAAGCATAGTAATGGATCGTACGTTGCATTTTTGTCACTAGATCCTCAGAAATATTATACACTGGACCTTTAACCTAAACCTACTGTAACCTTATCCTAAAACCAAGTCTTATCCCTGATATTCAATGAATTATCTAGTTTAGACAGTTATGTAATTATGTAATTGCATGAGTTTTGTCCCCATAATGTATGTAATACACATAACCACACATAAAACATACTCACACATAAAGTATATCTTGAAATTACCTTTCTCACCCCTTGCATCATCCACTGGTAACTTACTTAAACTCTATGTTTCATATTTTTGTATACAATATTGTTATTCAATGACCATTTGAATAAAATATTGCATAACCCTGTTGGCTTCTTTTCCAATTCCCTCTTTCCTCTTTCCTTTTCTTTTTATCCTCCTCCCTCTTCCTGTTCTCCTGCCCTCCTCAACTCTTGACCATTCCCGGTGTGTTGGACCCCCTGCAGCGTTTTTGGGCAAGTATTCTCCTCCTGTGCTTTCCCTCATATCTCCCGCCTTGTTACTGTCACAATACCAGCAGGCTTTGGATGTAACTTGACTTACAGTCTCACGAACACCCAAGCATTTTGTTTTCATTATCTGTTTTTCTTCATTTAGTGGTTTCTGATTAATAATGACTATTCTGCTACACTGAATCAGGCTGGCATGTGCTCCCAGAGGCAGCGTTTGCGTGCAATGCGCGCCCACACAGTGTGTCGCAGATGGTGTGTGTGTATTTCTCTGTGCACATGTATGTATTTAACCCCCACCTGTTACGATGGCCCTCAGATGTGGTTTTGGCACTAACCCACTGTAGCAGGAAGAACAGAGGAAAGGATGTTTGCATTATTTAAAGGTGAAGCCATAAAGCAGAAAGCTGTGAGTCTGTGCCCAAAACATGAGTTGGTGCTTTACTTTGTTTTCTTTAGTTTTTTTGACTCACTTCAACTTTTTTAACCTTGTTAAATAACTCCTAATGAATAACAGGATCCCTCTTAACACACTAAGCTTCATCTCTCCCATTTGTCCTTCTGTGTGCTTTGTCATCAGTTTTGTCTTGTTTGTGGCCATTGAATCAAACATCTCAACAGAACAATTTTAAGCTCTGTGGTTCAACTGAAACTGAAGCTTGATTTGTGTCAGTTTTATCATTTTTCAGAGGGTGACTATAAACATCAATTTAAAACCCAGTGTGTACTTGAAAACTTATCGTGTCCCAATTCCCACATCTATGCATTGTTAAGTCAGTGCAGGTTCTTATCTTGCATGTTTCTGTGTGTTTCTGTGTGACATTGATTTATGCTGAAATCCATTCACATTTTGTAAGGATTGTAGCTGCATGTCTTAGATATTGGACTAATTCAGTTATTCACAAAATATTCACAAAACTGGCAGGCATGTCACCAGCAGTGTGAAAAGGCGTGTGAAAGTGCAGAAGAAATAAGAAGCCTCCCCCAAATCTCCCTGCTATCCATCATCCGTAGATGCTTTGTTGGATTAATAAGTAGTGACCGGATATCAAAGTAAAAGCACATGGGTGCAATTATTTCCCACTCATGACCACCAAAGAGGACAAGGAGTAGCCCATGTCGTCATGAGAAATTTTGCTGTATAGTATAATCAACTGTCATGACATGCTTTGGAGAATGTCAAATGAATGTTAAGGTTATGAGTTGTGGTTATTATTACTCAGTTCATTTCTTTGTGCAGCATTGTAATGCAAATACATCAATGAAGTCCACAGATTTACTCTATCAACAAACGTATGCTAATACTAATGCTAAAAACACATCCAAATCATAACTTTAAAAACCTCTGACCACATTTTAAGCCTCTCTTCATGTTCTCCATCAGCACTGTCCCAATTTACATCCAAAGGCCGAAAACCTTTTGTTTGGAATCCAATATTTCTATTCAGGACTCGCTCTGTGAATAAAATATTGTGTCAACTTTGGCCCCTGTGGTTTTACCCTGTCTTTCTTTCCCCTTTCTTTTTTCCCTCTTGTCCTTTCCTCCCTGGGGGATGATTCTCTCGCTCGCTCGCTCGCTCGCTCACTTTCTCTCTGCTGGGATTTTTTTCCTCTCCAGGGAAAGATGGCAAGTATTTTTTCCTTCACTTTCATCTCTCTCCTCCTGTTCTTGAGCCTTGTTGGTCCTTTACCCAGCATGTCTGGCCAAGTCTATTCTGATCCTTCTTATTATACCTGACTTCAGCTGTTTGTGAAAGACTGTACTCTGTACATGGTTATATTTCTGTACTGTTTGATTTAGTTAGAACCGTTTTATGAGTTATGTGGTAAACATAGCCTTAATTTTCCCATTTTCCATTCTCTTTGTACTAATCCCTCACTTTACAAAGGTACTTTGCATTTTAACTAAATAAGGATGTTAAACATAAAAGTAAATGTTTTTTGAGATGGATGGATTGCATGATGGATGCCAATGTTGAATATGTGGAGCTATGGTGCAAATGTTTTTTTTGCTCAGTCTGTCAAGAGCTAAAATCTAATTTCAGTCCAAGGTCCCTGTTGGAGTTCTCTCTCCCTTATTGATGCACTAAATATTCAACAGGTGTTACATTCGGCACAGTTGAGCACCATCTCCTCTGCATACAGTGATTATTCCAGTTTAATTTTACGCTGTCTAATATTAGCATTCATAATACTCATATTTATAATATCCCTCCTGTACCTCTCACCAGTTTCTGAAAGCTTGCTGGCAGACAAGTTTGATGAATATGGCTATACACTTATTGCACCGAGGTAAGACGACATGTAGTTAATTTGAATTAGATTTTTCTGGTGTGATGACAATTTCTGCTTACATTAGTTCACCATAACGTTATTTTGTTTCCCACAGGGTGTACTGTAAGGACTTAACACTTGACAAGAACAAAAGCAACACTGAGTTCCTCATGGAGTTCAACAATTACATTGACACAAAGACTCCAAACAACCCCATGTGTGAGTATCCAAAAATGAAGACATTTTCTCTGAATTACCTCTTTCCACTTTACATGCTCCTGGTGCCATCAACTCTCTTCTTGAGAATCAAAACTTTTCCACTGTTTGTATTCTGCAGCACACTTGGACCTCATTCTCACTACAGACTCCTATTTACATCTCAAAGAGCTGCGAGCTGTACAGTATTCGCTATAGTATGTATATGTGAATGAATCTCAGCCATCTGGCTTGGCATTAAGGTGTGCATTGAAAATTTAATGGACAAGCACCAACCGAAATCTATTCCCAGAGGTCTCTCTTTCCAGTGAAATACAGGTCTGGATGGATAGCTTGTGTGCATGACCTAGCAAAGCTTTGTGATGTGGAACCCCTGTGTTCGTGTTACCCATTTGATGCTAACTCTAAAAGTCTGACCATCACACGCCTGAGTGCACATGTGTGAGGCACATCGGCTTAGATGTGACACACACACGCTCGCACAGGCACAATATTCACCAGTAATATGCCTTCCACACCCCACCTATAGTCGCTCGACCTCATCCAATTACTGTGTGTTTGTGAGAAAGAGCAGGACACGTCAAGGCAGGAGCACAAGAGGAGCAATAAAACACAAATCAGGGGCCGGTGGACCTTCTCCCAAACATCTGACCAAAGCATTAACATCCTCGCCATTTCTTGCATACACTCACTGATATGCATTACTCCCTTTTTTGTGCCCACAGAGTAAAACAAATGGACCCGGGGTAGTTATAAAAGATCTCCTTTAGTTTGACGATTTGAGTTTGAAAACTTTGAGTTTAAACAGCTCAATGTGATCAATCCAATAAAACTTTTCATCCAATTGAAATATCACTTTCACCATTATTAGCTGCTAGTTTAATGGAGTCTATGGGGAGTTCAGAGAGAGAGAGAGAGAGAGAGAGAGAGAGGAGTATGGCCCATGTGTACTATTGGCGGCTTGAGTATCGTTACACGCTTTACTTGGTTAAGCCACTGCAGTGGCGAAGAAGTAGAAGTACATTAGGAATTCCTGGGCTGACTTCAATAAAGGATCCCTAATGAAAACCACTACACACAGAGGGAAGGGGTAGGGGTGGAATAAAGTGTTACACCAGCTGTTTTCTCTGATGTGTGTGGTGTGTCATAAAGGTCGGAGGAGGTGGTGGGGGTATATCGACGAGCCTCGATGTTAATGGACTGGAGCGGGTCGTTCAAAGTGGCGTGCACGGCAAAAAAAATGGGCGAGCGGCTTTTATCGCCTGTTATGTTTGTCATGTGGTCTTGTCGGATGTCTAAAAAAATTATTTGCTACACCTATACCAAGCCACTACCTACACCTTTTTCATCGCTTCAGTTTCCTTATAGGGTTGTGTCTGTTTCTGTCTTGTTTCACAAGACAATTTAGAGATGTAACCTTTTCTTTAAAGACCTACCTTCTTTCTAAAACAAAAACAATCCCATCTGTCTGTCAGATTATTTCTATTTTGTTCCTTAAGCTTTGCTCACATTTGAAGCCTTTAGGTGCTTGTAACTTTAGGAATATATCAACTGAAACTTAACCCATGTTGCACTCAATTTGAAATAAATTTTGGATGCCTAAAACGTGATGTAAACGTTAAAATATCAGGTCAGCAGACACACAAATGGTATTCAAAGATAACATATCAAGTGATGTTTTGCCTTTTAGGTAATGTGGAGCTGGTGAACCGATTGCTCCTGGATGCAGGCATCACCTCGGATCTGATCAAGATTTGGAAAGAGAGAGAGTTGCAGTAAGTGAAGCACCAAAGTTTTGCCTGCATTACTATCAGTGCTTTTTCGTGATCCAGCTAAGCAAACTGAAATGTGGCATCAGTTATTTGTTTCTTGGTGTTTGGTAATGAATGTCCAAGTGCAAAACCAGATGGTTCAAGTATTTCAGCATTACCAGTAAATGTCATGCAGGCATAAAGCAGATTCCAGATTTCTGTAACTGTATGTTTTATAGCTTTATCTTCTCTGCTTGTCAGGCACGGTGTCTTGGCCAGATTTGTTGCCACCGATGGAGGGATCACACGGGTCTACCCCAAAAGGTACTTGTCAAGCTCATGTGGGAGGAGGGTTGATTTATAAAGATGGGAAGGAATAGATAATGTGTTCAGGATTATCTGATAAAGAATAATGATGTGGTCTGCTAAGAAAGCTGCAGCTTACCCATGAAGTGCTTTATATTCTATAAATAACAACACTTTGAACATTCATTCATCCATCCAGCTATGTGTTTGTGTTTGAGTCTTAATGGTAGCAGACTAAGCAAAGCAGGCCTCAGGCCCTTATCCCTGTATCCTTAGCTACTTCTCCCAGTTACTACTAGTTACAACTACTAGAAGCAACTTCCTAATCAGGTGGCCAAACCACCTTACTTCTCAATGTCAAAACTTCACAGACACCCAAAGTCACTAACCAAAGCATATGACTATAGGTGAAGTTTAGCACGTGGATTCACAGGTAAATTTAATGCTTCATCTTCATGCCTGGACTGTCTCAATGACAGTCCGGTATGATGACCAGTAGTCTTGCAAACACTGCAATTTAATCTGGATAACTTTTTTGGTATCTTGCAGTGTCAAAAAGTGCCAGATGACATGTCATGAATGTTTTTTTGAGTAAATATAGGAAACAAAGCTTCTGAGTTTTAGAATATATATCAGAAATCTAGGGGGAAGGTGGCATTTGACAACATACACATGTATATACCTTCACTTTACAACGCTAACTTGCAAAAACAATTTTTGTTGTGTTGAGGAGCAGGAAGTTACGAGCAGTGTTCAAGCTCAGATAATTGAGCCAGATAATCTTGAGAGGTAGGGAAATAAATAAGGTGTCATCGATCATATACTTAAGCATCATAGTCAAAGGATATTGCCAAGTGGAAGGTTACAAAGGGAAAGGGCAATGGACCCAATACAGATGTTTGAGGCAACCAAAAGGCGATATAATGACGATGACTGCAAAATTTAACTACTGATGCCAATATAGTTTCAAGCTGCTTTGAAAGAATGTCATAATCAGTGGTGTTAAAGGCAATGCGCAGATCACTCTGGAATATTTATGTTGGACCGCAATCAGCAGCAATCGGGAGAGTGTTACAGTTTTTCTCGATTGCTTAAACACAATTCTTGAAATTATGCCTCTTTTTCCATCCATCCATTGTCAACCGCTTATCCTGCGTACAAGGTCGCAGGGGGGCTGGAGCCAATCCCAGCTTACATCGGGCGAAAGGCGGGGTACACCCTGGACAGGTTGCCAGTCCATCTGCCTCTTTTTCTTGAAACTCTAAACACAAATCCACAACCTCTCACCAAATTCCCCAAACATCCTATTTTCAGGTCAAAATGAAGCTCTCCACTCAAAACTATTTAATCTTGCTGAAAAACCAAACTCTGCCCTCAAAAACACATTCTTACACAATGGTGAGATAAATTCAAAACAATACTACAAAAACTGGTTAAACATAATGTTGCTTGTGGTTCTCCCCCTCAAAACCCTTTTCACATGACGAACACAAGACATAAAAAATGTACATTTGCACATTTTTTATTCCTTAGTTGTACTACACACTAAACAACAAATTATTCTGCCCCTGCATCTCTTCGTCTTTGGTCTGGGAAAGTCCAGAGATTCTCATCCTTTTCCACATCCAACTCCTGCTCCAACTCCTACTGTTCTTCACCTCTTCCTCCTCTCCCTACTGCTCTTTCTCCTCCTCCTCCTCTCTGGTGTCTTCTACCTATTCCTTCACATCTCTCTGGATCCATTTTTCCAAAACTGAATGAACTGACTCTGGCACTTGAGCTCAAGCTTTTCTGACTTGAGTAAACAATATTGATTGTTAGTGCTTTCAAAATGACCACATGGTGTAAGCAATGAGAAGTGATATGATTTTTGTGTAGAGTTTAAGGAAATGGATGTGCTTTTTGAAAAGAGTTTGACATTTTAGTTCAAAAGCCTGGTTATAGTGTTTAAGCAACTGAGAAAAACTGTAACTACCTCAGTGAGTGAAGTTTCAGTGTAACCAAATTACCCAAGACTGAAGGGGCTCCAACATGTTCAGAATATGTTAATTAGTAAGTCAGACTGCAACAAGTCACAAAGAAATGGAGATTGTTCTTAAAGGGATCTGGGGTGTGGTGTTTTTCTTGAGAAGTTTTAATATTGCCATTGTCTGTGTGTGTTTGTGTGTGTTGTTTTGTATAAATGTGTTTGACAGTGCTGGGCTGTCCTGGAAAGAAGAAGCAGAGACATACGAGTCAAGTTTCTATAAGCGAAGTTTGGACAATGATCTTTACATCTTTACTCCAACACAACCTAAAGAGAACAGTGAGTAAAAGCCGGTGTGTGTGTGTGTGTGTGTGTACGTGTGTGTTTTCCTGTGTCTCTATGTGTATGCATATATGTATATTGTTCCCTTATTCTTCTTCTTTCAGCAAGTGACGACTCAGTCCTGGTGAGCAGAGCAGTAAACATCGTCATTGATAATATCACACTCAAACCAGCTGGTAAGGACACACACACACACACACACACACATACACACAAAGAGAGAGAGGGTCTTGTATTTTAACATTTATTCTCCTCATTTCTCAAGTTGACTCTCTCACTCTGTTACCTGCGTACAAACACACGCAATTACAGCTTTGTGTGTCTTATTTACGAAACTGCCATTTGCAACTCTATAGCCTTAACACTTTTAATGCCTTTATGTCTTCTAGCACGCGCACACACACACACACACATATAGGATCCTCATTCGTCTGTTTCTCCCTCTCCCTCTGACATGTTCACACAAACACACATACACACACACACACACACACACACACACACACACACCACACCACACATCAAGTTGTCTGGTCTCCTGTGATCCTTTGCCAAGTTTGCATTTTCGAAGTTCAAAGAGTAAAGTTGACACAGAGGTCCAACATGATCTAGGATGTCTGGCTTTTGTGTTTGATCCCAGTGGTCGGCGTGAAGTTGGACATTAGTACCTGGATGGCGAGCTTCATCAACAGCACACAGAGGATGAATGTAAGTAGATTTTATCTGCATGACACATACACACAAGGACACACATTTGACCCTCGGGCTGTGCTCTGCTGTATTTTCAGTGCAATAATGAGATCTGCGGCTGTAAGAGAAACGATGAGGTAAGAGGTTTAATTGCATATTCTTACATTTTCAGCTATTTTTCTTGGATATGAGTCCTTAGCATGCAGCACTGGTTTAAACTAAAATGTGATTCCAGAATGTAGACTGTGTCCTTCTGGATGATGGGGGCTTCCTGGTGATGTCCAATCAAGATGATGACATAGCTAAGGTGGGCCGCTGCGTTTTTCTCTCACTCTCAAAACTAAATACCAAGGCAGGTAAACTGAGATTCAAGGTTCAGAAAATGTTATGAAACATCACCAGTTCATCTTAAATTTTAGTACCACTTCCAAGTAACACACACTTTAATCAAGGGTTAATAACTGTTACTATGGGCTCTGTCAATTATTAATAAATCATTCACTAATACTTTATAGCCTGGGTATAAGTAATTCATAATAACATAAATTGGGTTGTGAAAAATCCCACTGGCTGGCATTATTCGTATCATGCCGTCATAAATGCTGGCAATCCAGTAATAAATACCCAATGGTTTTCTTACTACTACAAGTCTGCAGTTATAAATCTTAATAAGTCTTTAAAAAGGGGTCTGCGATTGATAAGTTGTTAATAAAGGATTTGGTTTAGAGCATCTGCAGCCCTTTATGCCTTATTAGAAAGGTACCTATATTTATTTGAAGGTAATTTACAGCTTATGTTTGGTGCTGTAATGCAGAAGAGAGCAGCCATGGATGCTAAAGATATTTGTCCAAATATCTTGACATCATTAATTATCTCTAAGTGGGGGAAAAATATCCTTTTGTGGTTCCGATATTCATATTTTAATGATTTAATTATACTGTCAATATCCTGAGATGTCAAATAAGGTTTTCTTGGTCTGTTTGCTGAGTCTACGTCTATAAAATCATAAATACTTTCTTGCCAGTAAGAAAACAAACACAAGGTCCACTCACTAGCTTTTGTCAGAGCTTTCATCCGCATCTCACGGCCTTCCTCAGTGAATGTTGTTTGCTCAGTTGATCACTTCCCAGACTGGGAGAGGTCAAATTCACCAATGATCACCTATAATGTTGTGACTTAATCGCCATAGGTCACATGGTGGCAATTTAACCATCTTAATAACAACTGATAATAATAATAATAACTAATAACAAACCCCAAACACTAAAGAAAGCCATTACAAGCTCTAAAAAAGAGCTAGTAACTTGACCTTGAGTTGATGTTTTTTTGTCTAACCAGTAACAATGAACTTTCAGCCTCAAATACCATTTGCTCTTCATGAAGAAATCAAATTGTCCTTAACTATTAAATAAATATAAACTAATGAAGCCTCTGAAACACAATTTGACCCATCTGTATTATTAACAGACACACACAGAGATATATATACAGTAAGCACTCATGTTTCTCCTCGCTGCACTATGCTAAATGCTAAGAGCAGGCCCCTGCTGTCATCTGAGTAAATGTATTTTCATGCAGCCCCGGCTCCTTCCTAATCAGGGCTGGGTGTGCGCTGGATAAATCAGTCGCCCTCTGAAGTTTGGCAGCAGCACTAAAACCCAGGGACCTGAGCCCTTGTTTGGAGAAGGCCGTATGCCCTCAATCATATTTTCTACAGGAGCAAAGTTTCTCTTACTCTATAAGCTTTTCGCTTTCTCTCCCGCTTTATGTCTTTCTCTCTCCAGCTCGTTCCTTTTCTTTCTCTGAAACCCTCAGGGAGTCTGCAGCCAACAGGGCTGTGACTGTTAATTCATTATTTGTGTTTTTGCACAAGGAAACGAGAGAAGGCTCCCTTCACCTTATAGATTGGAATATTTATATATTCTGTTAGACTAAAGAGGAATGGATATGTGGAGAACAGCTTGTTAACGGTGACCTTACAAAGTGGAAGGAAAGGGATAACTTGGATTTCCTCTTTCACTCTCACACACACGAACACACATCTTTCAGCACACACACATGGATGAGTACTACCTATTGTACATACTCCCTCCTCGATACACAAGTACTTAAACACCCCCACACAGTCATGTCACACCTCTGAGATGCCGAGACAAACTACTTCCTCTTAGTGGAAATTTATGGCTGCCTGGTGGACTGTGTTAATCAGATTATACTGATGTCCATCATCCTCGTTTTTAGGGTGATTTAGTGTGTGTGTGTGTGTGTGTGTGTGTGTGTGTGTGTGTGTGTGTGTGTGTGTCTGTAAATTCACTGAACATTTTCTGCATGTACACATTTTTAACTGTTTTTGTGCATGTGTGTTTTGTGCATAGATTTAACAATTAAAAGTTGAAAAAGTAAAAGTATAAAAGTGTTATGTTTCTCAGTCTGTAACATCTACAATGTACAGTTTTAAAGGTTTTTTGCTCAAACATTTCTCGGACCATTGTCACTGAAATTTTCTTCTTTCTGCTATGAAGTTGTGGTAGTCTGATATATTAATAGCTAAAAGGCATTAATGTGTGTTCATGAAGTCTGCTATGTTTATCTGAGTAGGGATGCTTGCATCTACTTCCGTCTTTTTTTAGTCTCCATCTGTGCAAATGCTCACAAGTGGCTAGAAGTTCTTTGATGTATTCTAAAGAGAAGTGACCTACAATAAGGTAGTAAGTGTAAACACACTGTATCTCTTAAGCCTTTATACAGTGCTTTTGGTCAATAAAATATTAATATTAAAATAGCTATTTTTAAAGGAATAATTTGACATTCTGGGAAATACACTTATTTGCTTCTGTGACAAAAGTTAGATTGATAACACTCTCATGTCTGTACGGTAAATATAAGGTTTCCCCCACCAGCCGGTTAGCTTAATATAAAGACTGGAAAAAGCAGCTAGCAAGGCTTTGTCCAAAGGCAACAAAATTGGCCTACCAACATATCTAAAGCTCACAAATCTCGTTTGTTTAATCCATACAAAAACTGAAGTGTAAAATTGACAGTTTGCTGTTCTGCACTGGGTTATATGCTGGACCGGGATTAGTAATTCCCTGGAATCTCTGCTGGTTGGCATTACCTTTGGACAGAGCCAGGATAGCTGTGACCACCTGTTTCCAGTCTTAATGCTAAGCTAAACTAACTGGCTGCTTGCTCCAGTTACATATTTACCATACAAACAGAAGAGTAGTGTTGATTTTCTCATCTAACTCAGGATCAGAAGCATATTTCCCAAATTACCAAACTATTTTATTTAAAAACATATTTATAAATGTATTTGAATGTATAGTGAAGGCTGGATTGCCAGTCAGGCAAGGTGGGTGCCTCCCCAAGCCCTCAGACCACCAGTGGTCCTGCAAGCCCCAGGTTCACTGTTTGTTTGGGAATGGGTACCAAAATGACATAATAATGACCTAAATCTTTAGACCCTGTGTCAAGATATAAATCTAAGACCTTCATTATTTTAGGAGATACTGTACTTTAATGGATCATATTCAAAAACAAATTTTGTATAATCATGTGACAACACAGCATATCTGGAACTATCTGAGATATCGTGGCCCCAAGACCAAAATGCAGACGTATACAGTGTATCGTGTGTTATTTAAACGATTTTCAAAATGTTTGTGCTGAATGTGATATTTGCCTGAGCTATTCTACAAAAGTGCCATTTTTTTTCTTCTCCCTGTCCTTAGATTGGCCGTTTCTTTGGCGTTATCGACCCAATCCTAATGAAAGATCTGGTCAACTCATCCCTGTTCACCTTTAAGAAGACCTTCGACTACCAGTCGCTCTGTTACCCCAAGAAAGAGAGCAAAGCGGCTGCAGGCCTGCGATCCGTCTACGTGGTGAGTTACATAAGCCAGAGACCATTCACGCTCAACCAGCAACACTCACACACACACACACACACACACACAGAGCCACCCACATGTGCACATCCACACTTACATGTTCACACATTTTGGTATCCATACATATACATTTACTAATTTCCTTGCATGAACACACGGACAGATTCAAGTACACATGCAGCCAATTTTAGCCATAGCTGCTTGCTCACACACTTCCAAATGGTCAGATGCACACACACATACACACACAAGCCTTCACTCACCAGGGAACCATAAATCTGGACGGAACAGATGAGAAGGGAAGCAGAGGGTATGGTGAAAGCGTTAGAGTGGGAGTTGCCGTAACAGTAACAGGATTAGGTGGTCTAGCGTGCTTGGCTAACACACCAATTGATGTAAAAAGAGGCACTGTTTTCCATCACTTTCAACATGTACAACTTACAGTGAAATGATGCAAACTGTCTGTAGACATTTAAATGGCGCTGATGAATTTCTCGTAGATGCTGAAAGGTCCTTGCAGTTGCCATTAGGTAGACATAATAAGCTGATACCTAAGAAAGAGATGAAAGTATTCGTAGGTATTTACAGATGCAAAACTTCCCCTCATTAATAGACAATTGAAAACATGTAATTTCCCGACTTGGGCCACAAATGTGTACAACACGCTTTAGTGACCAAGGTGAGATGAAAGGTGCAGACATCTTCTGATCAAAGACACTGTCAACAGCCAGTGATGCCTCTAACATGGATGGTTAAGAATCCTTGATGACTCAACACGCCATCAACTGAAGAGAAAGGATACAGCAGTGATTCACCAGAACAAGGCCTTCGCATGCTAACCATAATCAAAGCAGCATGTTGGGCCTTTGATTCAAACCGTGTGCTGCTTTGTTTTCTCACTGGTTCTTTGTTTACATATTTATGCCTGCATCTGTTGAGGAGGATTGTGTTCTAATTTCCTCTGAGAGAGAAGAAAATAAAATGTCTGGCTTGACCTTTCCGTCTTGGTGCCTGGCAAAACAGGACAGTCTGCAGCCACTGTAAACACAAGCAGGATGTTCAGATTGGCTCAACTAGCTTAAAATGATTTATTGGAAGACTATTAAAGACTTGATTTTGTCCTTTCCTGATATTAATTCTCATTTTGTTTGTCTCTCTTAGCCCACAATTGCAGATATTTTGAATTTAGGATGGTGGGCGACAGCTGCAGCCTGGTGAGTCCTTTTTTCTGAACTTTTTTCTAATATGGTAGGTATTAGCCCATTTTTTTCCAAATGATTAATAACAAAAATATACACCATAAAAACAGTTTTTTAAGTCCTTAAACTCAGATCCCAGTGAAAAGCAGGCAAGGATTTGTTCCTCTGAAATTGACATAGCATCTGTTTAATAGCTGAATTGTTCCCAGGACAGTTAGCATTCCACAAAATCTTCTCTTGATTTATTGATGCGTTAGCATTTACACAGATTATTTATTGTAGATTATGTTCCAATGAATCCAGACATGTTTCATCCTTCGGGTTTGTTTTTGCTCATAGGTCAATACTGCAACAGTTACTGGTCACCATCACTTTCCCTAATTTCCTGGACGCAGGTGAGGTCCTGTCAGTTTGACAGAGAAAAGAATAGTGCTTTGAGGTTATAATACGGTTTTGTGCAATATTGAGCTAGCTCTGGACAGCCTAAATGGCCTCATTATGGAAATGAATTGGTAATTGATGTTTATTTTTAGTTATTTTGACAAGGCCTTAAAAGATATTGAACACATTATTTTCAAACTGTTTATTTATCTTGACATTCTAGTGCAATACTCACCACATGCCAAAGAATATGTAGTTGTTAGCAATATTGTTCGTAGGAACAGTTGAACGCTCATTCATCTTCAGAGGATTTCATGTTCATGTTTCATGTTCAAGATGTTGCTTACACGAACCAGACCGTGAGTATGTTGAGTTGTGTTTGTGCGTGGATACAAATGTGCTATTAAAAAAAGGGTACCAACAGATCCAACGCAAAAAAAAATTTAACACGTCTTTCTTTGTTTGTAGTTTAACACGCCATGTGATGATGATAATATTTCTTATATTTCTTACTTCTACTGGCTTTGAGCTGTGCAGAATAAACCTAGGTTTAATTTCCCCAGGTTTTTGAGATATCTGAGAAGGGTGACTGCAGAGTCATTTGTCTCACAATCTGGTCAAATAAAATCAAAGCTTAGCTAAGAATTGCTAGGAGTTAGTGAGAAAACACATTTTTGTGATTTGGGTAAACTATTATATTATATTATATTATATTAATATTTTAAGCAGGCTCAGGGTGTTCATTGGTTTGTTCATCAGCTCATTCTGTTGTTTGTTCGCACGTGCAAAAGGGATTTACGGTATGTGATTTTTAAGCACCACAGAGTCCCAAGATCCCCCCAAAGGAGAAATCCAGTACGCTCTTGTGCACCTGGATGTACAGTAGGAGTCAGCCAGCCAGCTGTAGCTTGTTGCATTCTGGATTTACATTTACAATGAAGTAGCAGGTTTATTCTCGTTGTAGTGGCTAAGTCAACAAATGAGTAATGTTTTGCACCGCTTTAAGTTATTATAGTTTTGTTCAGTTCACTTTAGCTCACTGCCAAAGCACCTAAATACCACCTAATGGAGTTATGTAAACTGAGGTTCAGGAACAGGACCACGCCTCCCTCACTTATTCTACCACCTGTGCTTCATTCAATTCCTCCAATCAACCACCCATACTTCACTCATTCCATCCACCTCTGCTTCTCAAATCCAGTCACATGCACTCACATATATCAGCCATCTAACCCTCCTTCTCTCCCGTTTCTCAGTTCCCACATCCCTCCCACCCAAACCCTGCTTGTTCACCTCTTTTAACGGGCAGCACGGTGGCCCATTGGCCAGCACTGTAGCCTCACAGCAGAAGGTCTGAGTGTAGACCTCGCTCAGCCTAGGCCTCTCTGCACAGAGTTCGCATGTTCTCCCCGCTTTGAGTGTGTGTCCCCCAAGGCGCTCCGGCTTCCTCCCACCATGAAAGACATGCACGCTAAAATCCATAATTCTGCCTAGTAATCATTTTTTCTCTTCTACAACAGGAACCACAGGGGGGTTCATAAGACTAAGCTGCTTATCGAGACAAGCCCCCACCCTGAATCTCGACCCCTCGGGTTTCTAGCCGCTCCAGCCACCAAACCCTAAACAACCCGCTCGACCCCTTCATCCCTCTTCGCTCGACCCCTTCATCCCACTTCTCTTGACCCCCTCATCCCTCTTCACTCAAACCCTTCATCCCTCTTCTCTTGAACCCTTCATCCCTCTTCTCTCGAACCCTTCATCCCTCCCCTCTTGACCCCTCCTTCCATAACTATTCATCATAATAAACCACTATAAAACCTAACATTGGCGTGGTCCTTGTTAGTGAACTAGCATCTTAGTTTTAACAACGTTACACTGTTTTTATATTTGAGTCTTGTGTCAGATATGTTTTATAAGTGTCTGTTTAAATGAATACACCTGAATGCTCTTATGTTTACTTCCACAGCCGAGATGGATGATGATGTGTCAGATGCCATGAATAAAGAGGTTTGCATCACAGAGCAAACTCAGTACTACTTTGAGACCAACAACCTGTCTTTCAGAGGCGACATTGACTGCGGAAACTGCTCCAGGTAAAAATATCCACTCCTTCATGTAGTGTATATACGCACTCACAGAGTATAGTTAAGGTCCCTGACCTGCAGGGAGGGACTGCATCCATGAGACACAAATGAAGTCCCAAGAGGTGGCGCTAAGAGAGAGTTGTAAAAATTCACATGCCATGAAGGTGAAGTCAAGTCACTAGTGTGGACCACCGTCTTGGCATGTTCGTGTATGTGACTGCACACATGTGTGTGTACGTAGGCCATTTTAAGATCCCCTCGTGCCGGCTAATGGAGTGCCTGCCCGCATGCCACGCAGCGTTCCTGCACATTAGCCGCACACACGTTTCTTTTTAACGACCGCCATAAAAAAGCAGAGAAAATCATTTGTGTACCAGCGACATGTGGGTTTCAGTAAAGGTCTTAGAGGTGGGGTGGCACAGCAGGTTTGTGTCCCTTTAGGAATAAAAGCAGTTAGGAGAGTTGACTGAGCGATCCACAGTGTGCTTTCCATTGTGTTTGGAGTTGTGTTACAAGATTACAAGGTTTCTGTAGTGTTGCTCAGTCATGTATGAGGAATAATTAATGTCTACTATAAAGCAACAGACCAAAATCAGATGTCTTCCTTTTATCGCTGTCTGGTTAAATATTGCATGTCTCAGTGAAATTTGATCTCCCTCTTTCCTGGACTCATGCCCATGTGTCAACAACTTCTCCTGTGTCTCTTATGCGTCTACTCCTCCACCAGGACCTACCATGCTGAAAAGCTGCCCAAGACGAACCTGGTCTTTGTCATTGCTGATGCAAAACTCACCTGCTTGTTCTGTGACACCAAGCCATTAATACAGGATGAACAGCAGTGTATCCTTTTACCTAATGCAGCTATCATCTGGCACAGAACATGAACATTTAATACAATGAACAGATGTTTAAAAATGGTGTGTTTTTGACAAGATAACTGTGGATGGACTCGTGATTGTGACATGTAGCTATTAGCAGATGTTTTCACCACTGACTGTTGAAAGGGAACTTGCGATAAAAAAACAGAATGTTCTTTCTCCAAGCTTCTGTACAAGGGTTGTTTTCCGTTATTTGTAATTCTCACTGCTCACGTTTCTCTCATTTGCGCATCCTATATTCTACATCCAAAATACTGAGTGTGCATTTCCGCAGTAATTGACAGAAATCAGATGTGTCTGAACTGGGTGTCTGTAAGGCAGATGTGGGATATTTCTGCTGAAAAGCTAACAAACAAATCTATGATGTTCTCTCAAACACAGGACTGTGGTCAATTATAGATTAAACCTCTTGGTAAACACAATGCAAAAATGACATATCACTGAGGTATTGAGCAATGTCCTTGAAATCCAAAAAGAGATAAGTTTCTCTAAGTTTGAATAATGCATCCACAATTAAACTGGATCTGCTTAATTTGGATAATAATATAATATATCCTAGTGATTTTCCACATTAATCACAATGTTATGTTTAATAATTTCCCTTAGGTTAATCAGAGTTACAGTCTGACTGTTTTTACAAATGCAGAATCAGAAACAGTTTCATGCTCCTGACTTAACTCATCCAGCTGATGGCCCTGATCCCTGTGAAATGGCTCGCAATCCTCGGTTCAGGAAAGGGCCCGAACTGTGTTTTGATAAAACTGAATATGTAAGTAGCTTTCATAAGACCTGCTTCTGGCTGTGAACAATTTGAACTGCACAGTTTTTTTGTTAAAGGGTGCTCTGTGTAGGCGTTCATGTTGGATAATTTTGCCAGGCTGCTGAACAGTGAGACCATTGCTGTTTTATTAGTCTGAAGTCAAGCTGAAAACACAACACTGACTTATTATGAAATAGGGATGGTGAAGTTGTAACAAACAGTGACGTGTATCTGGCCCCTGGCGAATAGGAGTCAAATACTCACTCTCCGTTTAGCTCTGTTTTGGTTTTCATTAACTCCTGAGGGATATATTTTGCTTCTTAGCTGCTAAATGCTACACAATAGTCACCAGCTTACAGTAGTTGCTAACTTTGTCTGTCTACTGTTTAGTGCTGGGCAGGGTTTTCACTGTAAACGACTGTCTGCTGCTTCTGGAAACCTGCTTGAAGGGAGCTGTGAGAGTGAACCGAAAGTGTAAATTTACTCAAGTCTTTTCACATTACTTGTATTAATTTCATCCGCTATTAGTATGTTGTTTAGGGTGGCATTAAACAGAGAATATCTACAACAACCAATGACATCTAATGAGAAGTTCGACCAAAAACTCTATCTTAAACTGGTCAGACCATAATAAATCAGGACAAACACATAGCTGACATGAAGGAAGGAAATATTGTGCACTGAATTATTTAAAAAATTTATCATAACTAACTGAAGTATTAATGTTTCCATTTATATCATCCAGCCCTACCTCTAAAGAGGCTGTTACTGGGAGAGTTTTTTTCATATATTCTTTTATTATTCCTGTTATATTTATATTTCAGATTAAACTACCTGATGCGTTGTGACATTTCATTACAAAACAAGGGGTAGCAACAACATTTTAGGGACCAATAAAAAACGAAGGAAGGATTTCAGGATTTCAGGATTTCAAGCTTTTAGTCTCACTGGCCAGAGCCCAAAATCCTTAAGCTGCACTCCTGATATGGAAACAATGTATCAGTGAAGAAATTCTACCCATGGTACCTTTCCATCACTAATACTTTTACACATCTGTCACCTCATTTTTTTTTTTTGCAATCCCTCGAAAGCTGTATGTGCGCAGATTTCCCACGCAAAGACAAACAGTCGGTTGTTACTCGACTATGAATAACTAAGCTAAACAAACATTTTTATGAGCAGCACAGAATCTTGTTGCGTGTGAAACCTCTGTGCTTGAAGGCTCTGTTTGTTTTCACTCTATAGTCTTTTTCCAGTGTCAAAGTTTGTCGGTCTTATGAATTAATTCTTATGCCGTCACTGTGTTGCTCACTCACACACTCATATACACACAAGCATCCGTCCACACACACCAACCCTTTCTCTCACACTCTTGTCTTGCAAATGAATGCATCAGTCTTGTACTACTACTACTACTGTCTAAACTAATTTTCTTGACTTTTCTGCTCATATTTGGTTTCTAACTTCTTGCTAACTGTGGACCTTTTGCTGCATGATTCTCTTTCTCTCTGTTTTCTCTGTTTCCTGCTCTGTGATTGGCTGTTGATGGTTAGGATGAGGCCATGTGCCGAAGGAGCGCAGGCTCCCCATTGGCTTCCTCTCTGCTCATGTTTCTGCTGCCACTGTTCATGTGCTGTCTCGGGTCAGTCCCATAACACTAGCTCTTTCTCTTTCATTAACCATTTTCATTATCTTATACTCAATCTTACTGTCTTTGCACTCTTACTCCTGATGTTTCTATTCTGTCTCACCTTTTCTCTACTCCTCTTCTTACATCTGACAGTTTCTGATTTGTTCCACTACTTTGTGTTTTTTTTTCCTACCCTTATCTTTCTCACCTGTCACTCTTTCTTATGTCCTACCACCATCTGTCTTCACCTCCCCTCCAACCCACCGTCAGTTCTCGTTTCTGTCTCCCGCCAACATTTTCTCCGTCTCACCTGACTTTGAACTACAAGCCATGCTCTCTGTATCTTTCCCCATCTATCATTATCCGTCTCGGGCAATAAACTCCAGTGTCTATCTCTGCTGACATCTGATTACTGATGTAGCCAGACGTTAGTTAAAACAGACCACTCACATCTCATTTGCATTTTTTCCCTTATATCTCTCCAGATGCTAAGCATACAGAGGGTGAGAGTTTCTGATCAGTTTTGGTTATACATAATGGCTAAAGGTTGAAGCTTTTTTATATTTTCTGACCTCTTGTTTGATCCCTGTATAGATGACTGCTTGCGAAGCCCCACCCCCTTCAGACGCTATCTTGCAAACTTGTCAAGCTTGCCGTTGTCAAGCTTGCCGTTGTCACATAGCACATATGCAGTTTACAATGATAAGGTGGCAGATTCACCACTAATTCTTGTTTCATTGTTGAAACAATGGGTTCTTGATTTCATATGGAGGTAGATAAAAGCCGGTTTCATGATGCTGGCAGATTTTAACATAGAACGTTCGCTCCTAGAATTGGTCAAAAACAGAATGATAAAAAAACATGAGATCAGACAGTTAGTAAGTAACATTACACTGTTTGGCCACTTATCTTACGTAGTTGTGAGTATTTTCAGTGTGTTTTCAGTTACAAGAGAAAAAACTCTTTTATTGAGAACTAACAGTTGCAGGATGTACATTTTCCAATATCCTATAGAGCAGGAAACATTAGCCTGAACTCTGATAGCTTCCAGGACTGGCTTCCACCTCTTCCTAACATACAGCGAATGAGCATGTCCACATATACTCGCCCCTGTTGACACCTTTTGGTGTCAGCAGTCGGAGCTCCCGTCAAGCACTGAGCAATTCAGTGAACAAATCTTTTAAATGAACTGATTCTACTGAATCCGTACACTGGAAAAACTGCTTTGCCGAACATTAGTCATTAATGGGTCTTTTTTGATCTAACCTACAACCCTGCGAACTAATGTAGACATGCTAATGATTGCAGCCTATGTTACAGAGACTTACACATTGTTTAATCCACTTCTTACACATTTGCTTTTGTGTTTAAATGAATTCTGAAAGCAAATGAGAATAGCTCTTACTATAGCTCCAAGCACACCACTCTATGTGGAGAAATCCAGAGATTGACACTTTGGCTGTGTCTAGGTACAGTTGTTAAGCTATCTTTGGATAATAGCTGTTCAGGGTAGGGGTTTAGTGAACGGTCAGTTGAAAAGTGTTTAATCTGTTGGCTTTAACAATCAGTAACTTCACTTCTTTTCCTCTCTGCTCGGTACCAGGAGGAGGACCCTGACTGTGGCGGGGCATCCGGCCTGAGCCCCTCACTTTGGCTAATGATGGCCCTTCAGCTGACGCTGCTCTGGGTTTTGACTGGCTCCAGACACCATGCCGTCCCATCATGACCTCTGAAACATCCTGATCGCACCCCCGTCTCTCCCACACCGTTATCTCCAAAATGGCAACCAGCATGCAACGCTGCCACCGAAATGACAATCGCCCGATGAGAAGTGCTTGTAACAAACAAAAACCTGTGAGCCCAACATCCTGCCAGTTTCTTCTTTTGATACCTTCATTTTCAGGGGTTGCTCAAAGTGATTTCGCCGGGTGCAAGGATACAAGTGATGAAAGAAATGCATATTGGAAGATATCGGTTTTAAAACTCGATCCAAACCTATCCTTCATCCCTTCAATGGTCTCAGCCAGTTGATTAGAAGAATCCAGAGATTGATTTTGATTGGCAAATTCTGAACTTTCCCAGGCTTGATGTCATTGATGAAAGAGATTGGACTGCCTTATAGTTTCAAGGGGAATTAAATCACCATAGGGGGGGGACTATTTATTGAAGATGTTGAAGTTTTATTCACCACTGCCAGAAACAGCGCTGCCCTTTGCAAGCGTACAGTTTATTTTGAATTGATTTGCAGTGGTTGCTAGTTATTAGGTATTTATTGTTTTGTGGTTGAGAATTCGGCTAAGATTGCAGTAACAGATGCCAAATTTTTAGATCACAAGCTTGTGCCCTCCATTTGCCTCCATTGGACTGCTGATAATAACAGTCTGATACTGAGATAGCACTACCCAGAGCATTTTCACAGTGTCTCTAAGGGTTCACAAGATGCATCGTCTTCACTTTCGCCCCAGTGTTCTTTCATGTAGATACTGTATTTGCAGTGTAGAAATCATGTTCATTGTTATGTTTATGCACAGAAACCAACCTTTCAACTGCCACAGAGCACCTGCTTCTGAGTGTACGGATTTTAACTTTGTAGCTGATCATCTAACCATCAGTCCTGATCAAGAGTGGTAAATTATCTGGATTTCCCGCCTTGATGTTGGATTGCTCCAATGAAAACTTTGTTGCCATAGTGCGCATTAATCAGTCAGGGTGAGCCTGGCTGGTGTCCTATGCATGCTCACTGGACAAAATCTCTAGTGCCATGTGAACTGTATGACTCAGATGAACCCTTTAGCTTCCTTAGGCTGTGGCTACTGAATGGAAGTGTTGTATTTATTTGTTTTTCTTTCTATTGGTTATTTGAATCAAGTGTCAGGGCAGTATGCTACTGTTTGTTTTATCGCCACCACTAAAGAAAATAAATGAGGGGAATATAAGAGTTTGTAATTGACATTTTGGTCAACAAAACAGGAAAATTTGTATTCACTGCTGTCACTTTTAAATTAAATGACTACTATCTGCACTGCAGTTCAAAGTGCAGCTGTTATGTGTCTTTAAGTCTGGTCTCCTGACAGCCTCTGTCTCTGTGTAATAGTGAGGTTTCCTCTTGCAGTTTATTATACTGTGGAATGATATAATTTGCAGCAGAAATCACTGCAGCCAGTCTCTGCTTATGGTCCTATCTACTGCTGTATTGTTGTATTCATCTTGTTTCATTTTGTGTGCCTTCTTTTCCATTGGTTAAATGCATTAAACATAACTAATGTAAACTTACAGATGATTTTCTGTAGATGGTTTTATTAAAATAGTGTCTACTTGTTTGCAAGAGCGCAGAACAGAACAGTTAATAGTCAGATGTGTTAAGGAATGCACTAATTAGCCAAATAATAAAATAATAAATACTAACACATTTCGCAGGACCAAATTCTGACTCCTAAACCCACATAATGTCATCGCAGTACTAATTATGTCAGCCAAGATTAGAGTAAATACTAAGACTAATTAACTTTGTTAATTTCAGGATGAAAATATAAATCCATCCTAAAGACACAATATGTAAAAAAGGACATTCTGTGTTGTTGTGGTTAATTTATGTATTTGCACAATATTGAGGATTAAAAGACAGTAATTCAATTTGTCAGGAAATAAAATGTCAGGCTGAAAATGTGGCTGTGATTGTTGCAATAAACAAGCTTTAAATCTTTAAAATAACATTTCTGCTGAAACCAGCTACACTTGACGGTTTGTTTGGCACTGCTGTCAATGAGTAATCCCACACTTTAAGCATTATTTAGGTGTCTGCTGGTTTAAGGTCAAAATCATAGGTTAAAATTATTAATGTGTAGGTTATGTGTGATACCTCATTAGCTCAGTGAGAAGGCAGAAACCTGCCAAAACAGTAACCAACTGTTTACTGGTACCAGATATTGTAAGGATACACCAAATTACCAAATCTCCTTCCAACTCACTAACATTTTCAGTTTCATCTGTTTCAAATTTAAAACATCAACAGAGAAGGTAATTTGGGGATTTTGGGGAAGTTATGTACACCACTAAAAAAAAAACAAGGAGTGCATCTTTTTATAAGAGTCTAATATATAAACACTGATGCATGTTTGCAGGAAACTACTTAATTCTGTGGGGAAATGAAAACCACAGAAACTAAACTGACATTAACATTTGTCTCTCATCCTCTTCATAATTGTTTTAGTTAAATAACTGCTGTGACATCATACAGAATAATGTCAGTTTATGTATTATAACCATTCCTCCAAGACAGATCAAGGAGGGCTTGTTTGTCCCTTGTGGATAAACCTATTATCGTAATATAATATTTATGCAATTTACCAAGGCAAGATGTAAGTCTCAAATTGTTTCCTTGTGCTGCATGGTAGTGGCTGACAAGTTGATTTAAAAAAAAAAAAACATATCCGGTGTGCTTCTGCTTTAGTGTGTAATGTTGGAAAGCATAATATTCTGAGTGTCAGGCATTTTTTCATGATATGATAAGGTATGATCAGCTATTACTGCCTTTCTCTTGGGGGGACAGCATTTGGCTCCACGCTGGGGAAAGGGAACCTGATTGGCCAGCGTGATGCTTGAATGCACTACTCAATCCGTCATGAATGGTTCAAGCCATGCATGAGACACTATTATTCAAGGACCATACCAGTGATTTAGCAAGTTTTAGACTAATGACTACAAATCATGAATACTTTACATCACTGCCGATTATTTTGCAAGCCATGTTATAGATTTTCAGCCATGTTATAGATTTTCAGCCACGCTAGCGGATGGCAATGTCAGCCTATCAGTTGATCATCTTTGGTCCAGACTCAACAACTACGAAATGGTTAGTCATGAAATTGTGTACAGACATTCATGGTTCCAAAATGATGAGTCCTGATTTCTTTGGACCCCTGACTTGCACTCTAGCGCCACCGTGAGGTTCACAGTTGTTGCTTTGAGTAAAAAGTCTCAACAGCAATTGGACTGAAATTTGTGTTAAAAAAAGAAAAGGGGGGGCACAATCTTCCCTTGCAAGTTTGAAGAGTCTTAAAACTGATTTTTAAACTGCACAGAAATTAATAGGAACCAATAGCTGCCTGAAAAGTAATAAAAAGCACCTTCAAATATGGGGAAAATTGGAAATGGTCAACGGTAAAGTCTATACAATATACTTGAATTGTAGTTAATAATCTATACTTGCCCAAACACTGCATATGGTCTTTAAGTCACTGAGAGACGTACAGACATGAAATGAGTGAAAATAAACACTACTTAAAATGCTCCAAGTGGATTCTTTTTGAAATGCAGTGAAAACATTGGAGAATGAACATGAGCTCCATACTCGTCCAGATGTTCCATTCTACTTTTAAGTGCTAAAATCAGATGCTGTCACCTCAGGAATAATATACTCTCGATGTGATATGAAGTGTTTTTGATTCTGTTGGTGCTCTCTTTATGGATCGTGTGGGTTGGCCTTTTTATTTCTGGAATCTTGAGGATTGCTTAATGTGTGTGTTTTGTGTATGTTACCTTGCTGCCACTCTTTTTGTGGATGATGGGCGGCCCTGTCAGTCAATCTTTTTCTGCCTTTGGTTTTTTAAGGCAGGGTGGATGGAAGCGTCCACCAAGTCGTCCCCTCACCGACTCCGCTTTGGGAGGGTCTTGGTGGGCCTCTTTGTCAGTCTCCCTCGATTGTGCTTTAATATGTTACAATTTAGTGGAACTTGATTCTCCCGAATCAGTCATGTAAAAATTTGTACAAAAGTGATGTTGTTCTCAAAAAAGAACAATGTTTATAATCTGGGGGAGGAAAAAACGTGTTTATTCATGTGCAAATAAGGTATATTCAGAATAAAAATTTATGATTACTATCTGTTGCATTGCGTTGAGAGTTCTGGCTGATGTCCTTTTCTTGCAGAATATCTCTGTTTTTTTCCACCGTGGATCAGATTTCTGTTACTAACTTTTGTCACATTGCCAACACACATTTCCCATCCAAATGTGTGTGAGAATGAGAAGGAAGCACCCTGAGTCTGCTCTCCCAGTGTCTAGCCAACATCAGAAACTGACGTCCAGCCAAAATCAACACTGTCCAGGAAAAGAAACGGTGGAAGCGTAGGTCCAGCCACATCTCTCTACAACATTGAATTTGGCTCAAGGACACGTCCATTAACAATGACCTGTAATGTTCTCTGGTCATAAATTTTCAGTAATTCCTGTTTTCCCTATTGCATGTTGATCAAATGGTAAGTGACTTGCTCGTTAGCACAGTCTGCTTTACACTTGAACCTGAAACCAGCTGTGCTGAAGCCCAGGTTCTAGAGCCACTATTCCTCACTGCCCCCCAAAGACAAACTACGGGCTCATTTTACTCTTTATTATGGACGTTAAATACTAACCCCAGTTCTGTATGGTATGCTTCTAGTTCCATGAAGAAAAACCAAAATCCTTTAGGTGCTTGGGGACATTTTAAATGAGACCAATTACAATGTCTTTAGTATTTAGTTTTAATAAGAAATGGCCTTTATTGTTGGTAGCACAGCTGTTAAATGACTATACAGAGACCAATAATATGAAATTACATATTTTAAAGACTGTGACAGAAACGGATTACAACAGCACCAACAAAGTGTGATTGGATGGAATCAGTGAAGAAACTGAATACCAGTTCAAAATATGATTTATCACCATCATAACAAAGAAATCATATAGTACATTTCTTCATGTCTGTTATATGTTTTGTAACCATAGCATATATTCATGTGTAATCTATGTTTTTTACTGCATTCTCTTTCCTTGAGTGAATATTGTATAAAAGATTTATCATCACGTTAAGACCATGACAGCACCCTGTCTTTCTTGGACTTTCCTCCAGTGTCTTCCTCTCCAAAAGTGTTATTCCTTGTCTGTCAGGGATGAGTTGCGATGTCAATAGCACACGGTGGATTTCCTGCCAGGGGCTCTGGATTCCACGTCTGGCAACAAGATAACCCAGGGGGTTTACACTGAGAGGTCACCCCTGTTGTGTTTTTGATTGTTATCCTAAGTCTCTGGGCTTGTGTCCCTCTGTCACTGATTGATATCTGGCCTGAAGTCCCATAAGTAAACGGCCTCTTGAGTAAATATGAAAAGTTTATTATGTAAGTAATTGTAAGTATTAACAGTCCTCTCATTACACCGGCAGATTTGTTTTTCTAAAATGGGCTTTCCAAGGAGTATAGAGATGGTGTCACATGTCATTTGTGCACAAGAGTGAACCTTTAAGTGCTTAAAAATAAAATGGGATCCCACATGCTTGAGCAGGAATGGTCATATACTGTAGCTCACCACTTCATTTACATGCATATACCGATCTGAAAACCTCTCCCTCCGTCTTCTAAGCCAATGCTTACTCTTGCATTCCTGGCCTTGCAAGATGAAGAAGATATGGTTTATGCATTCACCCTTCCTATTCTGTGGAAGCCATCCCACAGTATGACTTGTTTTGCATCACTGAAGAGCACATTGTCCCCACACAAAACCTGTTTCGTGCCCGCAGACAAACCCAGCTGACAACCGCTGAGAAAATATTGTTTTTGCACAGATGCAGGCTACAATGGATCCGGTAGGCATATGCTTGTTGGGAACAACTTTGAGGGTTGTGGTTGGAACAAAACAGCATTCAGAACCTCAACCGAAAACAAAAAGCAAAGATTAGACCACCAAGGCTTATTGAGGTTTTTGTTTGTCTCCACATCTCCTTGTCACTTTGACTTTGTGCTCTGCCTGTGTTTAATTACGCAGGTCCCAAATGAAGTTCGTGCCTTTTAATTTAAATTTCAAACACCTCATAAAGGCACTTGTTTGGCCCAGGCTCAAAACCCAATCACAACTGCTGTAATAGATATCTTACAATACTTCTAAGAAGGCACAGGGGAAGCGGAGATTGAAATGTTTAGCGTATCTTGTTCTTCCCTATAGAATACATAATTTCACTGTACCTCTGTGGAGGCATGGTGGTGCAGTGGTCAGCACTGCTTAGAGCTGACATTGAGTGAGAGGTGGTTGTACACTGCCTCTCACCCAATGTCAGCTGGGATTGGCTCCAGCCCCCTGCGACCCTCTAGAGGATAAGCGGGATGGATGGATGGATGGATGGACCTCTCTTAATCAGAAAGTCTGTACCCTGAGGGTGGGAAGTCAACTGCATGCAACTCCTTACACTCTTATGTTCTTTTTAGATATTACATTACGATGAAGGAGATTACAGAAAAAGTGCGGCATGC